GCCGTGGTACTGTGCTGTCTGCGGATGCCCGAATAGCCAGATCGTGTTTGACCTCCACAGTTCAAGGTCAGAATCCACCCTCCCAGATTTCTCCCTAAATTCCTCATGCACCACACCAACGAACCTTCAGAGTTTTCAGCCACCACACTGCTCTACTCCTATGCGCTGCAGTCAGCAAGACAAATGGAAACACAGACCATTGCGCATATTGAATGTGAACTTTCAGTCTGCAAGTGGAAAGAGAGTCGAGATAGCAAATTTGATAAACAGCTTAAAGCCTGACATTATCTTGGGCACAGAAACATGGCTGAATCCCTCCATAGCCAACGCAGAGGTTGTACCGGCTAATTACAAACTATTCCGGCGAGACAGAAAAGACAGGGGAGGAGGAGTACTTGTTGCTGTCCATGACAGCCTGGACTGTCACGCTGTTCCAGAACTAGATGTTGATGAATGCGAACTCCTGTGGGTGAAGGTGAAGCTGAAGGGTAGACGCACACTTTACGTGTGTGCCTATTACAGGCCCAACACAGCAGATGAACCAAGCCTGAGGAGGCTTGATGTGTCACTTCAGAGAGCAATGCAGTCTAAGAACGTTTCTCTCCTTATAGGGGGAGATTTCAACTTTCCTGGTTGGAACTGGCAGATTCCTGCTTTGAAGCCCAAGTCCCCATACCCGGCCCTACACTCTGAATTCATGGAGATAATTAACAACCATGGTCTGGAACAGATGGTTAAAGAACCCACGAGAGGGGAAAACACTCTCGACCTACTCCTCACTAACAGTCCACATCTCATCCCAAGAGTAGAAGTCATCCCCGGAATATCAGACCACTGCATACCGTACTGCGAATTTCAAGTCAGCGTGCTAAAAAAGAAACAGGCTGTGCGCGAAATCCCAATTTATGCAAAGGCAGACTGGGATGGCCTGAGAAGTGCAATGACTGAGCTGAGTTCAAACATGCATGAGATTCAGGGTAATGCGACAACAGAAGAGCTGTGGATGAAATTCAAGACAACAATCACTGATGCAGTGATGAAATTCATACCACACAAGACCTCAAAACCTAAGACAAATCAACCATGGGTTACGGCTGAAATCCAAAGGCTCATACACAGGAGAGACCGCCAGTACAAACGTATGAAGAAGAATGGGTCGGTCGAACTAAAAGCCGAAGTACTGAGGCTCCGAAGAACCATCCAACGCTTACTGCGCAGATCCTACTGGAACTACCTGAACGGCATCTTCTCAGAGGAAGATACTACCGCCAAGAACAAGCGGTTCTGGAGCTATGTCAAGCATCAAAGGTCAACAAACATCGGGGTTTCCCCCCTGAGATGGGAAGGCAAGTTGACGTCTGAACCCAAAGAACAGGCGGACATACTCAATCAACAGTTCCAGTCGGTCTTTGGGGATGGTAGAGAGTACTCAGAAGTTGAGTTCCTGCTGAAGACCAAGATGATGAGCACAGCCTATCCCACCATGGAAGATATCAAGATCTCAGAGAAGGGTGTGCTGGAACTTCTTAAAACCATTAACCCCTTCAAGGCATGTGGTCCTGACAACATCAAGCCACGAGTGCTAAAAGAATTGGCCGAAGAAATCGCTCCTGCATTAACAATCCTTTTCCAATCGTCGCTATTCACAGGCAAAGTTCCAACTGACTGGAGAACAGCGTATGTCACTCCGATCTACAAAAAAGGAGAACATTACGACCCAGCCAATTACCGCCCTGTATCCCTCACTAGCGTAGTATGTAAACTATTGGAACACATAATCGTAAGCGCGGTCATGAATCACCTGGAAAGAAATAATATACTCAATGACTGTCAGCATGGCTTTCGAGTCAACAGATCATGCGAGACCCAACTCCTTGAATTTGCTGAAGAGTTGACGACCAACTTGGAGAACAGCAAGCAGACTGATGTGCTTGTGCTGGACTTTTCAAAAGCGTTTGACCGTGTCAACCATAGCTTGCTATTGCACAAACTGCATAGATATGGGATCCAAGGCACTACCAAAACATGGATCTCTAGCTTCCTCAGCGACCGATGCCAGGCAGTAGTGGTAGATGGCAAAACCTCCTCCTTTGTCAGTGTTAAGTCAGGGGTCCCCCAGGGCTCAGTGCTAGGCCCTTGTTTGTTCCTAGCATATATCAACGATCTGCCCGAGAAGCTGACCTCTCAAGCAAGACTGTTCGCAGACGACACGGCGGTATATAGGACAATGGTCAACAGCTCTGACCAGAGCCAGCTTCAACAAGACCTCAATCGGTTAGCTGAGTGGGAGATAAGCTGGGACATGGAATTTCATCCCGTCAAGTGCCAAACCCTGTCAGTCTCCAGAAGCAGGTTCCCTCTAAACCACTCTTACGAACTGCATGGCCATATTCTTGAGCCAGTTTCCTCCGTTAAGTACTTGGGTGTTACCATCCAAAGAGAGGTCCGCTGGGACGAGCACATTAACAGTGTGTGCAACCGGGCAAACAAGACCCTGGGGTTCCTAAGGCGCAATCTGAAGATCGGCAACTCAAGCGTGAAAGAAAAAGCCTATAAAGCCTTTGTCCGACCTATTTTAGAGTATGCTTCTACAGTCTGGGACCCATTTACCCAGAAAAGCATAGACAGGTTGGAGGCGGTCCAGCGACGGGCAGCACGCTTTGTCATGAACCGCTACAGAAGCACCTCGAGTGTTGGCAGCATGCTGGAAACACTGGGCTGGTCGACATTGGAAGAACGACGACGACTATCCAGGCTCACCATGTTGTACAAGATAACAAATGGACTGGTGCACTGCTCCGGAATCAAACAGAAACTCGTTAATCTTCCCCCCAGACTGCGACGAAGTCACGACAAACAGTTCCGGCTGGTAAAAACAAGAACGAAGTACAGAAGCTCCTCATTCCTGCCGAAGACAATAGGGGACTGGAACAAGCTTCCAAAAGCAACAGTTGAGGCGGCTACACTCGATACATTTGTGTCTATTGCCTCCTGTATTCCAACCCCCAGTTCATAACACCACTGCTGAGTCGCCCTTGCAACCAGTGAAGTATCCCATTGAAACCCATGGACAGTAACATCGCAAACCTCTCTGAAACATAGGAGCCAGAATGATCAATTCATTGATCTTGGGCCCTTAAAATAAAGAAGAAGAAGAAGATCCATGCGTGATGAATGTCTATGCAATTTCGAAAAAAATGTACATTACTAGCCTGATTCATGGCGAAGTTATTGCCTTTTCTTTTACACTTATTATTTATTGACCTAACAGGTTGATATTAGGTAAAATAATTCATGTTAGAAAATGGTAAAATGAATTATTTTATTTTTAACTATAATAACCAAAATACAGTACTTTTAAATCAGTATTGGTATTTGCATTTGTAAAATATATTAAATTTGAAATGTGTAAATGTAATATATTTTTAGAAAAAAAAAAAAAAATCAACTAATTTCTCATTACAAAGAGAAACAAACTTTTGACCACCAGAATCTACTTTTCTTTAAATTTTGATTTTTATCAGTTGTGTAGCTAGGGTTGGTGTCACCCGGTATAGTGTAAACGTATAGTGTCAACCCCATTTCCCCACCACCGACTTCCAGGATGTATTTCTTCTAAATACGTTCATCTCACAACGATGACAAAAAATACAAATTAATAGAAGGTCAGGAGGTAAATATATTTTAAGAACTTTAACATCGTTATGTTATAGTTATTTTTACATCACGTTTACTTCATTTATAACTTTTCTCTCCTGGTCTTCAAAGCTGCAAACCTGTCAAACCTGCTCAAATGTTTAGGCTAAATATTGGGGGGTGGGGTGAGGGGGTGGGGGGATGAGGTTGCTCGTGACGAATCGGCGAAAATATTATTTTTTTTAGTTTTTCTGGGTTTAATTTCAACAACCATTTTTTTTAAACGTTAAATAAATTCAAATTAATTATTTTTTTAATTTTTACCGATTCGATTCATGAACTTAGAATGTCCCGACCACATCATATTTGGTATCAATGGTGAATGGAAAGCTTTAATTCTCAGAACATAGATCAATATAGCTTCCTCTAACTTGCGAAAGTTACTGAACTCTTCATTCGGCGTTGAATCAAATTTAAAACGGTGTTTAGCTGACTTAATTATAGAATCGCCTCATTTCTGACACACCAAGCTCCAACTTTTAAGAAAGCTCGCATTTGGATTTCTTACAAGTGTGGAAAATGTACATGTGGTCGGTTATCCTTTTATGAAATACGGTTAAACCGAGCAGTGTGTGCTCTGTATGTAATTTTTTCAATTGTGGGTCACCCCCTGAGCTGGTGTCATCCGGTGCGTTCAGCAGCCCCCCCGCACCCCTTAGCTGTGCAACTGACTTTATATATTATATTTAAAACGGAGTTTAAGAACAGATTCTTTTTGTCCTTTTGAAACTCAAAATCGATTACATATAATTAGTGATATAATAAGATGCATGTGACTATAAACAAATTTCTTTTTTTTCATTTTAAATAAGTTAATATAATAAAAAAATTAATTTTGTGGCCATAAATCCCACGTATTAACTCTTACGCTTTAAGTACGTGAATATTAAGGTTACGGTATATGAAAATTCAAGGTCTAAATGAATCAATAAAACATTTTGCTGTGACGGTGTAGGCCTAAAATTGACGGCATGGCACTTAAAATATCATTTACAAATTGGATCACTGGTTATGTGTTATAGCAAATTATCGAAAATACATTTAAAAAAACAAAAAAAAAACGTAAATGCTATTTAGTAATAAAAATAATCCCTCGTTAGTACCCCAATTTTTATTTTAATTCAATTGTACAATTTGTCAAACATTATCAATTAGATTTTAGTTTTTCAAAAGTTTCATGATTTTTTCCTTTTTGTAATGTTATACAATCTAACAATGTGTAATTCATAGTTAATTACTTTTTATAAAAACTAAAAAAGGAACAAATAGATATACACCAATAAAATTGGTTTGCGTAACACATGCATGCAACAGACATAAGCACCAATATTGGATAACAAAATAAGTCCACTAAATTTAAAAAAAAATCAATTACATCACTTAAATGGTATTTTTTCTAAAGCATGCATTTGGTTTGGCTACATGGAAAATGTACATGTGGTTGGTTATCCTTTCATTTGCTACTAAAAATGTGCGGAGTCGCCGACTCAGTCGGTCACTCAATAAATTGCAACCAACAAAAAGCAGTTCAAAGAAAAACAATAACAAATCATAACAAAAAAAAAAACATGAGAAAAAATTATTTTGTTCATTTTCATCTTTTGTGTGGTGTCATTAAAAAAACTTGAATTGAACAGTAAATTGATTTTCTATAACACTTCTAAATAAAAATGAATTTATTTCTATGATTATAAAAATACATTTGACACAAAAATTAGGGCCTACACCTAAAATTAATAAACTTAAGATAAAAAAAGGCCCAATTCTATTTTATTTTTCTATCATTCATGCTTTTGATGACAATTTAATAGTTGGCGTCTAGGTTTCCATCTTGATCCTCATTGAAAGAAGAGTCTTCCACAACAGCTCCATTTCGTGAATCATTCCCAAAATTGTCATATGTAACAAAGTTGTCAGAATATCTTGCAAGTACATCATAAAGCACACTGTACTGATCCTGTGAACATTTAGACAAAAAAAAAAATAGAAAACCTAAATGATTAGATTTTAATATTTTACATTGCATTGAAGTGCATTGTTTCGTATACATAAATGACATTTTAATCTCTTTTTAAAATATAATGTTAAATTATTATTTGCGTATCAATTTCATTGTTGTATGTAAATAGTTACTGAGTTTTCTTATTTTTAGTGAGTGTTTCAAAAAATCGTATACATCTAATAAATATAAAACATTTTATTACCAAATTTAGAATGACCTCTTTCCTAATGGTTTTCACTGTGCCCACAACAAGAGGAACTGTGAGATAAGAGTCGTGCTCCATTCTGTCGAGCAACAGGGACAACACACAAGCCAGACCACTGTACTTTGCCCCATTGCTAAATTAAGAGTTGTTTTTTTTAAAAAATCAATACACTTATTTACCCTTATAAAGTCTACATTAAAATTGTTTAATAGAGATTATTTTTTTTTTTAAATCATTAACTTCCGACTTCTGTGCCTCTTTTTCATCTTATTTTATATGCATATTAATATTCAAATTCAAATCAAAACATGCTACAGTTTTTTTAATTTTAATTATTTAAAGACAATGTGTGTGTTATGACCTGCAGGTGTATAAAATCCTTCCCTGTGCTAATGCATTGTAAGACCTAATCTGTCTTAGAAAGGACAGTAGTTTATCAGGATCCAATTCTGTAAACAAGCATTTAAGGTGGATGACTGTTTGGCTCTCATTGTTCTGTGATAGAGAAAATACATTCAACTGTTATAACGACATTCTACATGGATAAATACTTTATCTCGTTTTTGTTTGTTTAACTTAAAAAAAAAAAAATGGTTAAATAATTTTTTGAACACTATATGGCATTAGTATGTGAACATATTTTTTTATGTGACGCCTGTAATTATCAATACATAATGTATAATATAATCAGTTGTTGGGTTGTTGTTTTTGTTTTAATTTTTACCACCCATCATATAAAGTATGTGTATTCTAAACGAAGTCTCTAGCTTCTCTTAAGACTACTTAATACATTTCACATATTAACTCTTATGTATTTTAAAGGAAACAACATAAAACAAATAACCGCTTTACCGTTTCCGGAGATATTTTATAATACTATTGGAGTATAATGTTGTTTATTGATTATAAAAATGGGCTTTTTGACCAAAATTATTTACGGATTAATTTTTATTGGTTAATATTCAAAGCGCTTTACCCACAAATTAACCACACGAATGTGAGACAAAGCACTTCGGTTCACAAACACGTTGACCCAAGTCTTACATTTGGAGAGACGGAAACAAGGGACTTCCGTTTTTCTGTCTCTACTGTCAGCAACTGCTCCTCCCATAAAGCTGCCTTGTTCGTCGCCTTTGATTTGATCACGTATGGTGAGCACTTTAACTCTTGGTTAGCTGCTGTAGGTGAATAATTACCAAAGGTCTGAGGACAAAAATTATCAAAATTTTGTGCATATTTTAAATATCATCGTCATTCAGACCCTGTAACCATTAGGGGATGAGTCCTTTTATTTCAAATACATACACTGATTTAATCATTAAAGACAATTATTACTATAAAAAAAAACACTGTATTTATTGTTTTTTTGTTGTGTTTTTGTTTTTTTTTGTTGTTGTGGTTTTTAGTTTTTGCTTTCCCAGATTTTTTTCCCTTACTTTTTTTTTTTAAATTACAAAACAAGAAATAAATATCTAGGTGATTACTTAAAATTATTTGCATGATTAAATTAGTTTCCTACATTTCCTACATCATGGACTGAAAAGTAATTTTCGTTTACAAACACTTTGCTCAGTTTTGATTCACTATTGTCAATTATTTGACATTGCAGATACGATTAATAATAGATAGACTTCTTAATTTATTTACTTAATAATAAACTATTAATTTATTAAATATATTTCTTATCTTGTGACTTTTGAAGTAAAATTAGAAATAAACATTACTGAAATTGATTTTAAATAATAACGAATGAATTACATAAAACCTCATATTTGAAAATAGATTTTTAGGGCTAGTTAGTACTCACAGAATTAGTGAAGTTTAGTCTTTTTTTTTTCAACTTACCTTATCAGTCACCATGGTTTGAACTTCAAAGGCAACAATCAGTGAAACATTGTATTGCGTGACCAACCGCCAGAAGTCTACAACAGTTGTTGGCATTGGAAGCTGGGTGAGGAGGTGTTGGCTTTGTTTCTTAAATCCCTGTAAAACATTCATGAAAATGCTCTATGGGAAAAGTTGTTTCAAAATAGTGTTTTGGCAATGTCCATAGAGAAAAAAGCCAGTGTCAACAGCCTGAGTTACAGTGAGCAGGCTCTTGTGCTACGTATCGTCATCTGACACTGCTGTGCCCATGTAATCTATGGACCTGTGTCACAAATATACCACTGCTATCGTGATTTAAAACACATTTTTTTTATTTGCCGACACAATTTCCTTAACCATTTTGCGTATGGCATCAACTTTTTAAAAAAGAAACTCTGCTCATTTTTGCAAAAATTAGAGACATTTACATTTTTTAAAAAAAATTAACGATTTACAAACAAAAGTATTATGTAAATATAAAAAATCTTACTGGCAAAACCACTGCATTTATATAATCACTCATGCCTATAGTCTGACAGTCCAAAAATGGTCTGTATATCTGTTCTGTTGGAAGCACAAATAAAAAGTGAGCCTATCAATGTAAATCATGTGTTTTTATTATGATCTATAGGAACTTAAAAGCAATAAAATAACATTTTAAGAGGTCATCCTTAAAATATGTGTTAAATAATTCTAAGTACTTTTCTGGAATAGACATTCTTCAAATTCTTTTTACGGGTCAGAGATTGAGTTTATGTTGTCAGTCCTATCCAATTAAATTGTGTTAATCAATTTGGATAAGGTAACGTATGTAAAATAAATAATATTATATTAGGTTATTGGTAGTTTAATATTGTGGAGAGTTCGGACCACGACGGCGCCGGCCGTCTGCCCAGGGATTACCGGCCGTCTGACAGGTACAGCCGGCGCCATCTGACCAGGGATCACGATCGACGGATCAAGCCATCAGACCATGGCATTTACCTGGGACGTCTGGTTGGTTGGTAACCTTGCGCCAATTGATAAAAAGGGGCGGGGCGAGTACAGACCTGGGAAGGGAACTCTATGAACCAGGGACTTATAAATAGGGACCTCTGGACGGGACGAGGGTGAGCGCGGCCGGGTGGTATGAGTAGAGGGCAGTCAGAGTTGCGAGATGAGAGAAAGTATAAGCGAATTATCAGCCTAATAAAGAACAAGACTATAATCATCAGATGTTATCGCCTGAGTTGTTTCTTTAGTGGATGTCAGATATAGATGAAGATAGCAGAGAATAAGCAAGGTTTCTTTACAATATCTAGTAAAAAAACACTCCAGGCTTTTTAAATTGGCTTGGAATTTTACTTTTTATTCGTCAACCCAACCACTAACACTCAATCACTTCAGTAACATCCACGCTGCATCTATCACTTAAGAACTACAGTAACATCCAAGCTGCATCTATCACTTAAGAACTACAGTAACATCCCCGCTGCATCTATCACTTAAGAACTACAGTAAAATCCACGCTGCATCTATCACTTAAGAACTACAGTAACATCCACGCTGCATCTATCACTTAAGAACTACAGTAACATCCAAGCTGCATCTATCACTCAATCACTCCAGTAACATACGCTGAATCTATCACTCAATCACTTCAGTAACACACGCTGAATCTATCACTCAATCACTACAGTAACACACGCTGAATCTATCACTCAATCACTTCAGCGGCAACCACGCTACATCTACTGCTAAAGCACTTCTGTAACAACGATGCAGCATCTGTCAAACAAACAATTTAGGAAGAACCAGACGTCTGATAGCTTCACATACTATGAACCACAGATATCTGACAGGCAACAAAAATAATAATATTTGGCAAATTGAATTAGCGCCGATTTCACAGATTTTTAACAATTAGATACCACTGGAATGTTAATGAGAAATGCCAGTAATTTATATTATTATTATACTTTTTTTAAGGTTTGGTCATTGAACATATTAACTATATATTAAATATTAATACTTATTAACTATATGCTATTGTTATCAACTTTAATGGCCCATTTGATAAAAATGCTTACTTGGAATTATATTTGAAAACCTATTTTTGATTACGTCAGTGATTTCCTCACTGTTCTCGTAAACATTGCCATCTTCTCCCGAAAAGTCGTCTGCCTTATCAAAGTCTTCTTTCAAGTCATCACTAACAGTAGACACAACCTAGAAATTAAAAGAGACAAAGGATTATTACTATTAATGAATAAGTTTAATTTAAGGAACATTATAATTCAGACAAATATATATTATATATTTGGCTAAGAGAACTCACTGAATGGCTGTTTGAAATAAATTATTATAAATGTCTTGTGTTCAAATTGTTTTATTTATGTGCTGAAAATGTATAATGCAATCATAAAACATTTCCATTTATATTTTGTTTGGATCAATAAAAGAATCTTATCTTATCTTATATATATATATATATATATATATTTATGTATAAAGGGAGAGAGATGGTAAGACAGACAGAGAGAGAGAGAGAGCGCGCGTGCGAGAGAAAGAGAGAGAGAGAGAGAGAGAGAGAGAGAGAGAGAGAAAGAGAGGTGATTGTAAAAAAAATAGATAACTTAAGAATTAATGAATTCCTTAACTATTAATGTAAAGTTTAGCTAATCTTACTATGTAATAATAAGAAGTTATCTGATGTAGAATTCTAGACATGAGCAATCCTTATTTCGAAAAAAAAAATTGATAGTCTCTTTTTTGCAAAATAAATTCTGAAAAATGTCATATACTCTTTGATTTTTTAACCTTATATCTTTAATCTTTACACTCATCTATAAGACTCACTTCATGTAAACCATCGACAGATAACTCTTAACGGAACGATAACTACATACTTTTACGTTTCTAAGCAAAAGAAAATATAAAACTTAAGAATTTATATTTATTGAAGAACAAAACTAAAATGTTCTTTATTTTAATTACTTACTGTAAATTCTTCCTCCATCTCAGTTTTTCCTGTAAAGGATTTCTCTTTTAGTGATTTGTTTCTGCCAACAATATCATTTGATTTTACTGTTGTGCCAATACACACAATGGCAACCTGGGCAGCCTTGTGCAAAAACCAGTACTGCTCCTGTAAGAATAAACACGAATTAAAATATAAGTGCAGAAGCAATTTAATTTTTTTTTTTAACTTTTTTTCTGTGATACATCAACAAAACCAAAATAATAAGACGATTCAGAAATTAATGTGTATTCCAATTCCACATGACTTTCATCAAGTTTTATGATTACTAAATTAGACATTTCTAGATCACTGGTGAGATACTATGGTATTATAAATGACAAAGTTAATGAGCGAAAAAATATTATGGGTCACTTAAGGTAAAACAAGGGATTAAAACACGTGCAACTAATTTTTAGGGATTCAGCGAAACAAAGTATTGGAAAACATGAACAAAATAACGCAACAAAACAACGAACGTGTCGGCCAGAAGCTATTTTTTCAGTTTCCAAGCAACAGTAAATGTAGCTGCAATGTAGCATTTGACAGGACAGCAAGAGGAATGTCAACTATCCAAATGCTAAGTACATTTCGATCTGAAATTGACTGATTTCAGTATTTATTTCGGACTGGGGTCAGCAAACTTTTGCAATGCGCAGCCTTTTGTTTAAATTATATCTGCTAAGAAAATATGTTTGAAGTCGTATAACCTTTTTAGACTAGTAAAGAGAATAAGATCTGCATCTGTTGTTCAAGAAACCTCATACAGTTTCCGTGCGGCAGATAGCTGATCCCTAGTTTAGCATAAATACATATAAAAAATAATTATAACGTTTACTAAATTTTACCATTGTCTGTATCATTAAGATTCTATCCTGCCTTAGTTTGGCAACAGTTTTGAAGAAGTCTACATGTCCTGTCTGCTCGGCTTCACTCAAGACATTGCGAAGTGCAATGAAAGTCCCTGTACGACCAACTCCAGCACTGAATAAGAGACATTTCAAACTCCGTTGTTTCATGTTTTATCAAGAAGAATGCCTATATAACTGACAAGAATGGCAAGTACAAACCCTAAGCCTTATGTTAATATAATTTTGATATTGAACAATATTTTTTTTAAAAGTATTATGATTTTTTATTAGAAACTGTTTCAATTCAAGAAGAACACTAACTGATTTTGCATAATGCTTATGTTCCATGAACATGGTATAGAAAGTTGATTAAGTAAATTGTTGATAACCGAAATTTTATGAGAAATGAAAATGTTGTCATGAGATTTTTATAAAAACTGATAAGTTGGAGAATTATTTAACTTCATTATCTTTTTATACAGGCTTTCTTTCCAGAATGGTCACTTTATTCTTATAACGTACCTGCAATGAACAACAATAGGCCTGCTGGTTGGGTGAGCAAAGACCCTCTGTTCAAAGTCCACCAAACCCCAGGGTGATACAGGCACACCTTTGTCAGGCCAGGAAGTGAAGTGGAAATGAGTGAAAGTTTGAACTGCAACAGCTTCTCTGGGCTAGAGTAAAATAAATTGACATAATATTATTTGCTTCTTCATAACATGATTCAATTTTTTTTTAAAGGTGAAAATAATTTTATTTTTAAATTTCATTAAGAAAAATAATTGAATAATCGCATAATTTATGTGCAAAAGCAATGGATTTTATTATCTTTAATTACTGAGCATGTATTGTAAAAAGTGTAGTTTTTTTTTTAAATATTTTTTACTAGCGAATAAGGATTTAAGAGAGATATGGTAAAAATTCCAAACTACGAATGTGTAAATAGTAAATTAAAATATTATAAGCATTTGAATAAAATCTAACCTTTGAAAGTTCAAGAAATCTTATCACACAGTCTGCAAAAGTTTGTACTGCAATCATTCTCACTTGAATTTCACCACATTGGACAGAGCTATCGTCTAGCCAGTACTGTTCGCATTTAACCTTTAAAAAAATTGTTATCTTTAATTTCAAGATTCAAAACAAAATATGATTATTTTATGTTCATTTTTTCTTTGTAAAATAATAAATTTGATACTTTTTAGAAATAACAAGAAGTAAATTCGAGAATGGCTATTAAGCTTACCGTTCCTTCTTCAATTAGGTTTGTCAACATCACAACTTTATCAACTTGTTGTTCCCACAGCATTCTGACAAAATCATTGAGTATGATTTTATTAGGTCCTGCCAAAAAAAAAAAAAAAGAAAAAAAAGCCAAAATAAGAAAATAAAAGAGCCCGTTTAAATTGAAAAAAAAAATAATTTTAATAAATGTTTTACTTCATTTAAGAAGCAATGTATCAAAAGTATATACTTACCCTGAGAGGCAATGAATTTCTCATGTTTGTTGAATCCCTTAAGAGAAATAAGTTTTATGGTAATTAAGAAACAATTAAATTTATAGGCCTGTTCAAATATAGGCACTATGTAATTTTATATACCTAATAACAATTAATTGATTATATTTTATACTTATTAGCTTACATATATTATTCTTTCTATACTAAAAGTTTATATTATTTAAAAGGGCAGAATATTCTTAGATTTCTTTTTCATTGCTTTCTTTATTAGTTTATATTTCATGAAGCTCTCCTGTATCTAATTAATAAATGTACTCATGGGNGGGAAATACATTAACTTTCCAGGGGGGGGGCAAAAAAAAATTTAGTAATGTTTTAATATAGTTTTAATTTGCTGTAGCGTTTTTGTATGGTGAACGAACGGACAGGACTTAGTTACTTTCTCTTTATTTTCTCTTTACTTTAATACATTTTTTGTCTATTTTTGTCTAAAAATTTTTTATCCAATCAATCCAGGGGGGGGGGCAAGTGCCCCCCTTGCCCCTACCTGCGGGCGCCCATGAATGTACTATGGTTTTTTAAGACATTGTTCACTTGTAAATAAAATGTTCTCACAGGAAGCATATAGTATACTTCACGCATTAATGTTACTGTATTAAAAGCATTAGACTTATTAAGGGGAAAAAAATCATTCGTGAAAGTTTGCGTCAATACAAATAATAAATTATTTTTCTATTACAAAGATACGTGTTGAGCTAAATGATTTTTTTTTTTTTATAATTGAAAACAAGTGCTACCTCAATGTAACAAGCATTGATATAGTCTTCTTCATTCTTTAATGTATTTATTTCCAAACGGACACGGGAATGATCATCTAAAAATCAGATTTAAGATTGTTAATGAAAAAAAAATTAAATATTATTATTGTTTTTTTCATTTAAAGGAAAAAAATCTTATACAAATGTACTTAAAAGAAAAAACAATTTCTTGAAATCGTCTGTTACCTTCACACCTTTTAAAAAAAAGTTCATTTGTTTTTTTTTTCCTCATGCTTATATTAGTATGTGTAATGTAGTCTGAGATTTTTCTTTTAAATTACGTGAGAAAATGAACTTGTTCACGGACGCAAGCTTAAAAGATATTGATTTAATAATACCATTACACTACCGTACAAAAATAATACCAGATCATTATTTATTTTTTAATGTATTCAAAGATTGTGAGGCCGCGTATAAAGGATAAGCAAATTCAAGTCCAAGCACGAGATGTGTGCGTTTGCTTGTTTAGTCTGTACACTGAGACCCTTAGGAGGCATCGAATCACTTTTATTTTCCTATGATTTTAGGTTTGACCTAATGAAATTTCGTTCCAATAACTTTGTTAACAGACATTGCATTTAAAAATATTTTTTTTTCAAAAAATAGATTGATCTATTTTTTTATTATCTGCATATTATGTAAATTAGAAGCATACACATATGGAAATGAACGAAATAAAAGTTGGGAAAGCCTGAAAAAGAAAAAAAACGTGAAAAGCAACGAACGAGTCGGCAAGTACCCTTCATCAGCAATCAAACAACAGTAAAGACAGAAATAAACCAAAAAAAAAAAAAAAAAAATAACCAAAATAAAAAAAGTAGGGAAAAGCAGAAAAAAAAAAAAAACGGGAAAAGCAACAAACGAGTCGGCAAGAACCCTTCAACAGCAAACAAAAAAAAGTAAAAACAGAAAAAAACCAAAAAAAAAAAAAAACACTTAGCTGAAATGTAGTGTACGAGTGGACAGCAAGAGGACTGTATTAGAACATAAGTAGGTGAGAGATTAAATAAAGGCAAAAAGGGAAAGCAGAGAGGAAAAGTAAGTCCATTGCATTAGCTATAAAGCTATGATGTTAAAATATCTATATTCTATCATAGTCCTAGAGTTTATAAATATACCTACATGCGCAAATATTCTTATAACGATTTTTATGTTTGTTTGATGAATTTTGCCCAACCTCTGTTGTAACATTATGAGGGGCTGGAATACTCTGCAAAAAATCAATATAAAAAAATTTATGTAGTAACAATAGAGAAAATTAATTCTTTTTAACTCTGAGGAAAATTGTGTATTTTTTTGTTATTTTAAAACAATATTATTTTGTTTATATAGGCCATCGGGTAGATTTGCTCTACCTATCTGATATTGACCCAGTAAAAGCAACCCAAATGATAATAATTTATGCTTTGTCTTTCCAGTTTTTGTTCACTTTTTTTGAGTATTTGAATGACTACACACATATTAAATGCAAAAGTTATAGTTTTTAAGAATTCTTTAAAAATTAAATATAGATTTGTCTTCTTTGTATTAATGTTCAATACTTAAGTGTTATAACCTCTTTTAGCTAACTATTCAATTAGAATGCTCTTAATAAGCTAAAATGAAATAAACAAATCAATGTACTCATTTAAAAAGGATTACCCTAAATTGCTGGTCAAAAAAGTTCTTGTCATGAGATTGCATAAACGTGTTCAGGTCTTTTACTGCAATCATTGTTATTTGAACATTGTTGGATATTCCTTCATTGATGTAAATCTCATCAGTTCTTGAGAGAATTGTGTTGTTCTCTTGATGATTGGACTCTTAAAATTTAAGGATACTAATTTGATCATTGAAACATACTTGACACCTTATCTGAATTAAAACCAGCGATCAGAAATAAATATTATTCTTTAAAAGGGTTAGGTATAAAGATATCCACATTTTAAATTCATACTTGCAGTAAGAAAGCGTGACATAAGTAACTGGGTTATTTTTTAAATATTTTAAAATGTACTTAAGTAGCATAAAATTAAAAGGTTAAGAAAATTAAGTTACCCTGCACTAATTTGGATCCAACTATAAACAAAAATATATAAGTCTCCATGCTCTGTTGTTTTGTAAAAAATGCACGGAGGCTTCACTTACGCATTTAATATATGTTAATAATATTAAATTTAAATGATTCAAATGTTGAATAACATCAATTACTAGTTACCAGAGTAATTGTTCTCAATTTCATTCAAATTCATTTGGTCAAAGTGTGACAATCTTTGATCCCTTTTTAACTCAGGGTTGTGTTTCGATTTCTTGAAAGCTGCATGCCCTCTATTTGGGATAGAGAATACATTTTTGGTTAACAAAATACTGCCTACTGCATATTTTCAAAATGGGGTCTACAATTATAATATCACAGCCATCAGCATAATTAAGCTGAATTATGTAAATATCTTTGAAGTGTAAATAATCATTATTTTTAAAAAAGAGTTAATTCTACTACCAATTAATTAAAATATGTGCCTATTATCCTAATACAAAATGTTCAAGGTCATTACCTCCAAAGGATGAACCCAGCAATGTTTAATACACAGAGAACATTAAAAGCTATGATCGATTCGACAATAAATCCTAAAGTGGTGTCCTCATTCTGTTGCTCGATAATAACTGCAGGGGTAAAAAAATAAAAAGCTTAGTTTTTATTAACTTAGGTACTTACGGATTAATTGGGAAATCAAAATAAAAACATATATATATAATAAATTCATAACTTAACTTGTAAGTCTTAAGATAAGATCGCACTCTTTATTTTGATTAGTTTAAAATCTAACACCAGGTACCGTTGTCACAAAAATATAAAAAAAATGTTCAATGCACTATTTAAATGTCGTCTTCTCATAGACTAGAATATATGACCCAATGTTATCGGGTTAATAGTGGTATGTTCTTAGCGATAATTACTACCCGCTATTGCAAAAACTCAGTACAATTCCTAACTTTAAAAAAAACATCTATGTAATGATATTTATGTTTCTAGCATCATTTAGTTTTGAGAAGTATTTATCTGCTATGTATTATACTATACGCATACCCTACGCTCTTTTACGCCCTAAACTACTTTTTTTTTTCCTCTACACATGACCTTAAATTTCCCAATCCAAATCATAATTAATTATATTCCTTTTTTACACTAAAGAAAAAAAAAATTGAGGGGTGATTTCTACGCTAGAGAAATACTGTAGATTTACCACTTTTCATGCCCTTGAACTACAACATTTTTTTCTCCAAAATATTTAAAAAAACATAATCTTAAATTTTCAACAAAAAAACTCTATCTTTTATATAAACATATTTTATGTAAAAGGAATTTGATAGATTGATATCATCATAAAAATGTAAAACATCTTTTGCCTTGTTTTTTTTGAAAATTATACATGATCAAAAAATCGTAAAAGAAAAAAAAACAATTTTTTCTAAAGAAGAATCTTGCAACCGTCTTTCACGTATATATCACACTTGAAAATATGTTGTTTCTTTCAATGTTATTTCATAAAAATAAACACCCAATTAATACTTTTCGTAATATATTTAAATTTTTTGAATGATAATAAAAACCCATTTCCATTTTTCAAAATTAAATTTTCAAGTGTGTAAAATTATTGGGTCCTGATATTCATGGGTACCATCGTTTGGTTAACGCCATTGATTTTCTTATTTGGTAATCATATGTTTATTTGTAAAAAAAGTGAAAGTAAAATTTATTTTTTCTCAAATGTAATACCATAGGATTTAAATATATTTTCATCCATGTCAAAATGTACACATCCTATTTCCTACCTCCTTTCCTACCCAAGAAGGCTAATTATTTGTCAAACTCATGCCGTTATTTGTAAATGTATCTTGTGCTGCATGGAGCAAATGACCAAGCCCTTCCCCAGATTTAAATAAAATTAATAAAAACTTCCATTGGATTTTAGGCCATTTCATACCCAAACGAACACATTTTGCATGTGTTATTATTGGTATGAGTTATAAGTGGGTTTACTAAATGCATTTTTGCTTTGGACTTTTGCATGGCTAATTGATTTAAACGGCATTTTCTTATTAAAAGTAAATTTAAAGGTAACGTTTTTATTACGTCATATTTTTGGAAATTAAAAAAGTAAAAACTTATTAAAATTAAATATACAAAGCTCAAATTTGTGTAGGTTTTATTAACAATTTAAAAAGCAGTCAATTATTGTTATTAATTTTACTTTTAAAAATTGGGAAATACATTATTAATTTTGTTACGCGCGGTGATTAAATAAAGAAACTCAAGAGAAACTAAAAACGCACTAAAAACGACAGATATTTGAGTTTTCCCATAAATTTGATTACGATGTAATTCTTAGATTTTAAATTTTTGATGAATTTTTTTTTCATAACTTTAAATTTTGATAAAATGCTAAAAACAGTTTCTTAGTTGTTACTTTGAAGGTATTTATGTTTTATAATAATAGTAATTAAACTTTCAATAAAATAAAAGCGGATATATAATATTTATTCTCATGATAGTTTATTCGATTTCCGCAAAATAACAGAAAATAACTATGATGTTTTTAATAATTCAAACACACTTAAATCATATCGTTTCTTTGGCGTTATGTCACTATAGCTCATTCTTATATACATATTTACTGAAAGGCTTTAAATAAAATGTTAAAAACATGTCTCTTTCTTTTATGGCACCTCATTTAAATTATGTATAAAAAATATTAGACCCTGATTATACATTTTTAATCGAAAATGAATGAAAGCATAATCAATAATAATTAAAATAGAATATACAAAAATTCTTATCATCTTAGTCAAAAACAAAAATAGAAGTGCCATAATCAAATTAGATTAAACCTAAATCAGAGAAGTTGTGACTGAAGCATGTCGGCATGTTAATGTTATTTCAAGAACAAAATTACTACGGCTTAAAGATGGGTCTTTTTATTGATGTTAAATAAATAGCAGGAGACAGATTTCGTTTATTTTTCTTTTAAAATCCCTTTTGCAAAGTTTTCTTTTATTTTCACATTGAGATTCTTTGAAGCTTCACCTTTGTAAAATATATTTATGGTTTTGCTTTTTTTAAGCCTATTAAAATTGAATGGAAGATGGTCAAAAGATATTTCTCCAATTCATTCCAAATGTCTCTATAACTATTCTAGTCGTTCATTGTTTCTTTACCTTCACAGAAATTTCCTTTATGATAATTAATACAAGACACGCAGAATCCCAGAAGTGAATCACATGTGCTATTTGTACAATTGGAAGAACACGTTTTGGAGCAGTTGATTCCATATGCGCCATCCCTGCATCCTAGTTTGAAGGGGGAAGTAGTAATAAGAGTTACAGAGGCGGGAAAATTGTTGAGGAAGATATAGGCAATTTTTAAACCCCCAAGAACACGCCGTCACATATTTGTAGTCACCTCCTCCATAATCTCACGGTTTCATTTATGAAATCACCAGAAAAACAATGCTAGTATGTTAATACCAACAACAGGAAAAACCATGAAAGAACTCAAAAAAGGCAATTAAATATGTGGTTAAGAGACATTTATATCGTGCGAAAGCAAAGAAGTCAAAATAGATTACCTTTACCATCCTTAAATCACGCTTTGTAAAAATACGTAGACCTGCGCTTCCTCCTCCCCACGCCCCCCACCCCCACAAAAAAAACCAAAACACGTGAAAGCTCGACACCATGCTGGATGAAAAAAAATTCTAGAGAAAAAGCTCTGGTTCCAAACTTAAGGTGGATTAGGGGGATTGATTGGGGGGGGGGAGATTGGCAGCACCTGGGAACAAAGTACTTGGTGACGTAAGGAACAAAAACAAGGGGGGATAAGGTTGCATACCACGGCTCGACACCACGCAGGGTGAACAAAACTAGGTCAACACACATGCTATAGAAAGGGTGGTAATAATATTACAAACTAGATCTTAACCTGGTCCATTTCTTAAAGGTATGTTAAGAAAATACCCAGTGGGTCCAGGACTTAAAAAATGTGTGCTAACGTATCATTTCTATGATATATGCCAACTATAGGCTTACAAACATTTCTACACCCTACCTGTCGGCTTTTAAACACATTCCCACATACAGTCCTCCAGGTATTCCTACACAATACCGTTGCCTCTTTATTAATTGATATAATAGTTGCCTCCAATAAAAAAAATCAACCTGTTCACCAGAGTTCAGACGTCACGCATGAAAGCTTGGTGTGACTGCCTTTTCCCCACTAAATACTACTAATATATTACATGTGGAGTTTCTGGGACGGGGGCAGTTGTGAAACGGAAGCAAGACGCACCAGAAGCAATACATATATATATATATATATATATATATATAAGATATAATATAATTTCTCAACGGAAGAAAACGAGTTGTCTAATATTCTTCGTTGTAGATTTGAAATGAAGCATCGCACATACACAAGGCCTATTTTAGGGCGGCATTTTTGGACCACTTCATTTACTTTATATAGCTTACTTTCCGTTTGTAGTTTATTCTTTATACAGTGTGGTTTAGGGATTGGACAATCAAGGTCCTTCCCGGACGTATAAACTCTACTTACTCAATGGGTCTTGATGAACTATACTTTTAAACAATTTTAAAAAAATGTTTGATAAGTTTAAAAATTTAATGGGCGTTAAATCAGTTCCTTCCGTGTTTCCGTGAATTGTCATGCAATAATTAAATGTTTTCTATACCCTAGTATAGTCGTTGATATTTTCCTGCTACATGCCATGCAAAAAACATGTCTAGCATTAGGTTTAAATAGGCACAATAGTTAATCGTAACACATTAAAATTAATATTTTTGCTTGTGTATAACACAAACATTTAGCACCAACAAAATTAACGTTTTTGGGTTCATTAAAGTCGCTACCTACTTTTGTTGCAGTCAGGGAAGTTGTCATATCCGTTGCAACCTTGATTACAGACTCCACTTTTTCGGTCACAAGATGTGTTACTACAATGTGTACTGCATGGAGATTTGCAATCTCTACCCCACGTTCCCGTTGTACACTCTAGACACAAATAAATGTTTACTATTTAAAATTAATTATTTACATTCACAGGTTTTCATAGTTTTGTAGATGGATTAATTAAAAAAAATATAATAATGGAAAGAGAAGCATGGAAGCCTAAAAAATGCTCATAAAGGCGTTTCATTTCTTTATGAGAACTCACACCATTAATTACGATGTGACATTACGAAACTTTACCTGTGGTGCAATTTGGTGGGTCGCTGTATCCATTACAGCCCTGGCTACAAATGCCACTCTGTCGATCACATAGCATATTGTAACAGCTCCCATTACACCTATTGTTACAATTGAGACCCCATTTTGTAGGACTGCATTCTGAATTATTTTATAACATCTTTGTGATAACATTTTAAAAAAATTAATGAGATCCCGTCATGAATTTGACAATTATTTAAAATCTTTTATAGATTGCAAAATGGCATAATCAGGGAATGCCTACACAGGGCTATACAATTAAAATAAAAAGCGTGAATTAAAACAAGTGGCTCTATTCCATTAAAAAAGAAGCCATTTGTCCAGATTCCAAACATTTCGATAGTATTAAACAATGCAGTTTTCGGTTTCTTCCACACAAGTAATACATCGGATAAGATTTATATTAAAATAATAAGATTTATTTGTGCTTTAACTCCATACGGCAGTGGTCACCAAGTGGCGGTCCGTGACCTTCACCGGTCCGCATGCATAACGCTGTTGGTCCCCATAACAAAAATATGTATTGTCAAATAGAAATAAAAGTATAAAATAAATCATGCACCGATCCCTGGTAAAATTTCGAAACTTGTTCACCGGTCCGCCAAACTTTAAAAGTTTGGGAACCACTGCCATACGGTATAAACCAAATCCACAATTTTACATAGCTGCCATATCTTTTTCCTATTTGATTTATTTTAAATGTTACTTCCACTCACTTCCTTTCCTTTTTTCCTAGCTTTGTATATGTCTGTGCTTTACGCCTACTCTTAATAATTTCTATCAGAAAATTTCCCCGGGGGGGGGGGGGGCACTTAAGTTTTTTTTTTTTTGGGGGGGGGAAGTGCCAGTGGAAAGAGGCGTAGCTTAGGTGGGCGTAGGAGACATATGTCCCCGGGTGCCAGACTAGCGGGGACAGCTATTGGGCTATACGGCTATAGTGTTAATGGATGAAAATAATGGGTTTCAGAGTTCAACGGGGGAGGGGGTAGTAAAAATGAATCTTGTCCACAAGGGCGGCACTAACAATTGCGGGCCCTCTGCGAAACGGATTGCGTGGGGCTCACTCTAGGTAGGGATGAGGATAATAAGTGAAAATTAAGATTCAGTATTAGAAAGTGGGGCCTATGGAAGTGCGGGGCCCACTGCGGCCGCATAGGTTGCAGTGGCCTAAGGCCAGCCCTGCTTGTCCCCTGGCACCAAAGACTCACGCAGTGACGTAGAGGGGGGGGGCAATATTTGGTCTTCCCGTGTCAGTTTTTAATTTTTTCTTTACATTGAGCGGCGGGATCTTCGGACAACTGCATGGTTTCTATCGAGAAAAGTATAGCGGCAAAAAAGCTAATCTACAGAGAGATGCGCAAAAGCTAGGCAAGCCGCTGGGCAGTGTATATATCAGCACCAAACTTGGTTGTCAGGGCAAGCAATACACTGCCATTTTTATCGGGAAGTATGGCGGAAATCGAGCACCACAATCCTAACAAGAAAATTTGTGATTGTTTGACAATCAATAGGTGAATTTTGGAGTATACATGATTTACTCCAAAATACTATTATTGATCAGGGAAAATAATTTTTCTAGCATCAGTGGAGGCCCATTGCCATACATAAACTAAATTCAATTTGGTTGTGCTGCACCCAAGATAATCATTTGAAACAAGATTAGATTTAAGTCACATTGATCGACGTCAAGGAAGGAAGTAGCAGAAATTGAGGAATCTGAAGAGTCTTAAGCAAAAATGAGGGCAGAGGTCCCCTAAATTTAACAATAATAAATTCAAAGTACATTGCGATGCAAATTCAAGGTATCTTTCGGACAATGTGTAAAGGGGCATGTCAGATTTTCATTTATTTACTATTAGATGTCTCGTGGAGAAATGCTAAGAATACAACATCAACATACACCAAATATATGTGGACTACAAATCAACTTATTTTTGCATATACGAAAATACCGGTACGATGCTCTCCTGGAACTTGGAGTCCTTAACAAACTAATCCGACTCATACATATGTCAATGGATAAATCCAAAAGTAGAATCAAAGCACAGATAGGCTACTCTAGAGAGAGCCCAATTAATCATGGCCTCAGACAAGGAAATCCATGCATCCTTTTCAGCATCACGTTAGAAACATACGTGTGAGCACCAGAGAGGTAGTACAGAACAACCATAAGGAACTTTATAAAGCCAGCCCCTGCAGTACCTGGTATACACAGACGATATAGCGCAACTTTGTAGAAACAGCAATGATATAATTAAAGCTTTTAGGGAACTTGAAGATATCATGGTCAAAGCTTGTCTTGATGTAAATAAAGCGAAGGCAATATATTATAAGATAATGTCAGGAACTATGCACACTGATGACAACATCAATATATATGAACAACCACACCTTTGAGAGAGTAGTTACTTTCAAATATCTCGGGTTCACTATAAATAAGCAAAAGGGAATACAATCGGAGGTGAAAGAAAGGAAAACAGCATTCAACCGTTATTATTTCAAAGAAAACAATCCTGGTGGCTGCCGTCCATGGCTTGACATGTAAACGTCCTGGGGTGGGGTGGGTGAATATAGATTTATTTTTGTTGTTTGTGTTAACACGCTGTTCATTATTTCATAGATGTAGTTTATTTTAATGTCATGATTATGTCTCTTTTGCTAATATGTTTATGTACCGTGCGGTGAGCCCAGCCCTAGGCTGGGGTACCGCGCCATATAAGTCCAATTAGTATTATTATTATTTCAACTTACAAAAGCTGCTACGAAGCAAAAACATCTCTAGGGGAACAAGAGGCAATATGCACCACCATCATAAGACCAGTAGTAACTTAAGCAAGTGAAACTTGGTTCCTACCAGAAAAGCAGAGAACCTGCTCAATATATGACTCGATGACTTTCAGCTTTGTTTTAGGAATACATTCCAACCAAAAGCAATATCAATTTTACAAATACCCATCCCAAACAATAAAAAAGGCAGACTGCCCTGGACAGGACACATTGAAAGGAGGCCAGATTCTGAAGCAGCAAAAACGATCTACATGCAGAAACCTAGGGGCAGACGGCTCACCGGTCGACCAAGACTGAGATGGATTCACGATGCAGAGAAGGACTTACAACGCATGGGGGTTTGTTCATGGAGGTGGGAAGTGATGGATCGATGCAAATGGAAGAATATGGAGGAGCAGGCCAAAGCCCTACATGGGATTAAGTGCCACTGAAGTAGGCAGTTCAGAGTTTTGTGTGGGAACGCTAGAAATAGCCATAATAATAGGAAATCACTAACTCTTCCACCAGCCAAATATTAACTAAATTCATTCCAGTTGAAAGCACTAAGACTATGCTTTTTTTTTTTGGTCGAGAGATACTCCCTTTCACCCTTGAAAACTTTATCGGCCCCGGAAAAGTTTGTAGTATTCAAAATGCAAAAATGCATTTTTGTACATAGTTAAATATAGTTTTTAACTGGAGAGCAACGGAAGAGATACTGGTTAAAGGTTTAACTTGACCTCGGAGCGATCGTGTGAAGTCTGCGACCCGTATAGCTGCATAGGGCCTCGCATATTTTGGGGGCTTAAAGTTGTGCTGTAATTTCTTACAATAATCAACTTTTACTGCTAGGTAAGAAAGGACAGATCCAAAAATTGACAGGGGTAAGACAAAAGGTCTAGCTACGACTCTGCTTGACTAAGTATGTTATACAAATATATATATGTTTTTTTTTTTTTGAAAAGTAAAGTGTTTTTTAAAGTTTTTATTTAAAAATATTTATGTTTAAAATATGTTAAAAAAATAATAGATTTACTGTAAAATATTTTTTAAGTTTAAAAAAGAATTCCTTACAAAAAAGGGTGTCCATCACAAAAATGAAATGCTATAATAGTTTTACATTTTGAACGAAAAAGAAAACCCCCAAACATACGTTTATTTCTAAATATTTCCAAGTTTTACCAAAGTAAATAAAGAAAAAAAAGTTTTTCTGTAGAAAGGGCAAACATTTTTATGGGTTTTAAAAATTGGTTATCATTTATAAATCTTATGTAACCGACAAAATTTTTTTTAAGAAGACACCACTTGTTTACAAAAGAAATCATATTGTGCATGTTTTTTGTTTGTTTTTTGTGAAAGAAATCGTATAAAAATAAAGTTAAAATTCTCAAGATTCAGTTGATTGAAATGTTAATGTGGATATTCAAGCTAGTATAATTTGCTTCAGATCAATTACAACTTGCCTCTTGGATATTATACTTTAAAACAATTTTTTTACTTATTCCATATAATTTTTTTTTAACTACTACAAAATTTCCAAGATAATCTTAAAGCTACATTTTCTTTAAAAATACTTTATTTAAATATTATTATTTCTACTTGATTATCATTTAAAAATGAATTTTTAAAAAAATTGTTCAAAAAGCTGTGGAAGATTGTTTATAATTCTCAAATTGAACAGAGAAAAGTCGTTTGGGATTTAATAAATAAAGGCTAAGTATTTTTTTTTTAAATCCTTTTACTCTGTGTTACAAAATTAGAAAACACTCGATTTACTAATAATAAAGTAATTGTCCACTATTTGTATCCAACCGCTAAATGCCTTCTAATTTTTTGTTTTAAATTATCATTTTTATGAGTGTTTTTTTTTTTTTTAAGTTTTCATTTTTTCTAACTCAATATATATGTATGGAATCTACAACATTAAAATGTTAGCTAAAACGATTTTTTAAAAAAAAAGCAAGATCCCAATATACATTTTATAATTAACACTCATCTCTACTTTAACAGTCATGCTTTTATGATGAAATATGATTTTAAAAACATATTGCACATGTTAAAAACTTAGTAATAACTATATTCGATTTATAGAGATTTATATCGATGTAAAGGTAGTTTAATACAGTGTTATGAAAGTCGTTCAACTTGTGCAGCTGAGAAATATAAATAGATACAAATACCGATACATGCGAATAAGAAAAGTGCAATAATGGCTATTGTCAGGAACGGCCAATTTTCAAAACAATACAATATTTATAATCGAATTCTGTGAGCATGTAACACGATTAACCTTAACGATATGGTTCATCAATATATATTGAACAAAGCGATATTTGATTGGTTTCATTAATTGTAATATACGAAAGGCACACATTTATATTATATTTAAAATGTTATAAAAAAGTTAATGAAAAAAAAAATATGTACAGTTTTATTAAAAAATTATTTTTTCTTACACATTTTCCCCCGGAGGGGGGGGGGGCAGGCCCGGTTTAACCACTAAGCGAACTAGGCGGAAAATTTATGGGGTGGCTGTGCGGCACTATGACCAATGTAAAAAATATAAATATAAAAATCTTACCGCCCTTTAGTAATAAAGGACTGAATAATTTGTTTAGTGGAGTGACACCGTCATTTAGACATTGAATTAAATTGCGTAGTTTTTTTACATTAATATTTGCTGTTGTATTGAAACGAATGAAACGAATTGCATATTATAAATTGGATCAGTAATTTACTTCCTTACGTAACGGGCTAATACCGCCAGATCCAGTGACGTCATTTCATTTTGAAATGACCTCAATATTGAAAATAAAATAAATAATTTAAATTTGATTATCGTCGACAGGCTACTTAAATACTTTAGGTAACATTTCTTCTTCTTCTTTGTTTTACTGTTTAAAATCCTTTGTTTCAACGCTCGGCATGGGAAGGACATACTAGAACAAATGAGTGCATTAACTCTGACGAGTGTTGCAGCTCAATTGAGTTTTGGAGCGATTTGTTTTTACGGCCGGATGCCCCTCCCCGACGCCAGCCTCACTTAGAGGATCCTGGTTACCCTTTTTAACCCAGGCGCATAGGCTGAGCTGTGTGTAATCAGGGGCGTAAGATATTTAGTTTGATTTGTGTACAACGTTATATTTAAATCATTTGATTTAGATATTTTAACTTGTATGTGTAAAGTTCAATTTTTTAATTTACAAAAAGGAATTAAAAATATAGCAAAATAGAAAACCATAATAACATTTTATTTTGCAGTTTCCGTCGTTATTTCAATCCCCATGGCAGAGAGAAAACGATTGCCTGACGCATAGCATCGTAAACGTCGGGCTGAAAATGAAAAATACGTTAAAAAAACAAAAACAAGGAGACTGGTTTTTAAAGTATCTATGTACACCGCACAGAGACGAAGGCGGTCCAGATAAATTAAGCAATCAAGCCGAAGCAGACAAGGAAGCGGTGGAATCCGAGGAGATGAAGGAATCAGAGGAGTTTGAAGCACAAAATGAAATGCACAATACGCACCAAATAACTAAATCTGAAGTGCATAAAATCGATAGTTTTAACAATATGTTAACTATGGCGATCCTGCCACTTGGACCGAATTTGATGATCATATATGACACATGTTGATATACCATGGACCAGAACAAGTTGAGCATTTTGATTTTCCTAAAGACAGTAATCAAAGAGAATTCTAAAAAATTCATTACAACCTCAGGCTTGTCAATGGAGAGAAATTCGCAAACATTGGCTGCAGTATTCTGTATGCAATGACTATGTTTATTGTTTCTGCTGCAAGTGTTTACCAGCACAACAGGTGCGTCATCTCTTTCTGATAAAGGTTCACATGATTGGAAAAACATGTCCGCAACTCTATCAGGACATGAGAAAAGCAGTGAACATCTAGTGAATTTTCATTCATGGAATGAACTTGAGTTGCGACTGCGACACATGAAAACAACTGATGCCGAACATTTGCGTCTCATTAAAAAAGAAGAACAGTATTGGCAGCAAATCTTGAAACGGCTGATTGCTTTAGTTTGAGTTCTTGGTATGCAAAATCTTACTTTTCGTGGAACACATGAGAAACGGAACACTTCTGATAACGGGAACTTCCTGAAATTTGCGGAATTTCTAGCTTTGTTTGACCCACTTATGGATGAGCATCTTCGAAAATTTAGAGACAATGAGACACATATATATTATCTAGGCAAAGACATACAGAATGAACTTTTTCAGCTTTTATTCAATGCAATCAAATACAAAATTCTAGCATCTGCTCATGATGCTAAATACTTTTCAATAATTTTAGATTGCACACCAGATGCTGGTCATGTTGAACAGATGACCATGATCATTCGCTTTGTGGATGTGATTTCAAATCCAGAAAATGAGATTGCAGGAGAAGCAGCATCTATAAAGAAAAAATTGCTTGGGTTTTGTGCATCTAAAGGAGACGACTGGTACTGGTTTGACTGAAACTATTCTTCGGTTATGAGAAGAGATATCTTTGTCTATCGAAATTTATGCGGTCAAGGATATGACAATGGCAGCAATATGAAGGGAAAAGACAATGATGTCCAAGGAAACATTTTAGATGTCAATCCCCGAGCATTGTTTGTTCCCTGCTGTGCACATACCTTGATTTTGGCTGTTAATGATGCTGCAAAATGTTGCCTTGAAGCAACAGCCTTCTTTGATCTAGTGCAACTTGTTTATGTATTCTTTTCTGCATGAACTCGTCTTTGGGAAGTTTTAAATCGACATGTTTCTAATATGACTGTTAAACCACTTAGTGAAACAAGATGGGAAAGTCGAATTGATGCTTTGAAACCTCTTCGTTATCAGCTTAATGAAATCAACGATGCTCTGTCAGAGCTAGCGGATGACACAAATTTAACAGGATCATCTAGTAATACATCACTAATAGGTGCATGGGATATTGCAAAAGCCATGTCGTTTTTTCTGGTTGTGTGGCATGAGGTGTTATTTGAGATCAACATGACTAGAAAACAACTTTAGGCAAAAGAATTAGATTTGGATGACGCCATCAATCATCTGGATGAGAGAAAAAAGTTTCTCGTAAAACGAGAAAATGAGACGGAGTTTGAGAAAACACTGGTAAGTGCAGCTGAAATTTCAGTCAATTTAGAGATACCAGCACTTTTGGAACCAGAACCAACCCGTATCAGAAGAAAGAAGAAACAATTTGCATCCGAAGGAGATGACAACAAACCTATTTAGGATCCAAAAGACAAATTCAAAGTAAACTTTTACTTCGCTGTTCATGACATAGCATTACAATTATTGGTTAAAGAAAGATTCACTCTGATGAAACAAATTAGTTTGGTGTTTGGTTTCCCCTATGATGTTCACAATTTGCAGAATAAAACTGGCAATGAAGTTATGGAACATTGCTTGAATATTGAGAAAGCTTTGCAACATGGAGACTCCAAAGATATTGATGCAGTTGATCTAAGCAGTGAAATGAAACCCATTTCAAGACTGATTGCACGGTGTACATCGCCACAGGATGTACTAAACTTTATAGTAAAAAATTCCATTTTCTTTTGCTAGTGGTGAAATTATTTTTCTTTTGTATATAAGAATGCTTTAAGAAAATTAGTAAATAAGAAATTTTGACTCACCTGTTGTACATTCTGGTGGATTGGAATATCCATTACAACTTTTATTACAAACACCAGTCCAAATGTTACAAGATTGGTTATAACAGTTTGTGCTGCAATTTCGGCTGCAGTTTAGGCCCCATTTTCTAGATTCACAGGCTGAAAATTGAAATTAGATACGATTTTCTAAATGTAAAATGTGATTGCCACCCTTTTTTAGGGAATTAAAACCACCGAGGTCAATTTCATTGCGCTTTTAACCATAACTGTAGTCACAATTATAGAACGATCATTACGAGGAAGTGAAATACAAGTCATGTTGTGATTAGGCGCGGTCAAATATATCAAGGTGTTGGTGTTAAGATTTCTAGGAGAGCTGTTGGATAGTGTTAGAAGTACATGTATTTTTGTAGTAGCGAAAAGTGATAGGATGTATCTCAGGTTGATCTTAAGGTTAAGTCAGCTTACCAGCCATATGCAGAATTGTATTGTTGTAATAGATAGATATAGATAGGTAGATGTTATGAGGTGTGATAAGCAGAAGACAGTGTAGATATACAATTAATTATATATACATTATGAACCAAAAGAAAAAAGTATTGAAACTGATACATCTTGAACGCGAGTGTGCTTTTTGTAAGCATTCTTATCTTAAGCCTCATTAGGTTAAAAGGAAGATATGTTGGGGATTTAGTGTTCGAAACTGGTTCGCTCGACGGAGGGAAAACAAACTTAAAGTTGATTATTATTTTCGCCAGCAAGTATGTGGTCGTATAAGGGACTGAGTTTTAACACGTTATTAGAAAAATTCATAAAGATTTTTAATTAGCCCCAACGAGTTGATACTATATTGTATGGAGATAAAAATAATGTAACAAAGCCAAGTAAATTTAATTAAAATCTTTCATCAAGACAAACAAAGATAAAGTCGAACAGAATAAAATTATCCGAGTAGATAATTAACGAATTCTTACATTTTAAACATTACAGACATGTTAAGTAATGTGTTTATTTTTTATTTTTTATTTTGAGTAAATGATTTATTTTTCCCTCCAGGAATATGCCGATGACTGTTAGTCCTCACTAAAAGATCACATACGGTTCATATAAAAACCTTCCAAACAGAATATCCCCCCAACGGAAAATTCCCTTGTTTTTTTAAATGTGCATCAGGAGAGAAAAACAGAAGAAACGTTTGTGGTTGGCAAGAATTCAATGAAATACTAATAAAGGGAATTGTGGGTTATGGAACTAAAACAAAATATTTTATGTCGATTTGTTCTGTGATTCCTAAGATGAGTCCTATTTTTATTAAGCTCGCAGATCATGCTAAGATATCTTAACGTTTTCTATAACATTCATCTCTATCGAATTCATTAAAAAATTATTTGCTAGGGATTTAGCGAATAAGTAACCGAGCCTCTTGTTATTTTGAGAATATCTGTGGGATACTAAATACATTATGCGCCCAAAATTGCAGTGCCGAAACTCTCGGACAATAAATGCGTATTTTCGTATGTTAGTAAGAGTATCGAATTATGCAACGGCCAGAGACTGCGTTGCTGATTCTCATTTATCTAAGAACTTACAGGTTGACCAGACTTCCCATCTCCATTGACACTGTACACTTCTAGAACAGCGCAACTGTGTGACTTGGAGCTGTCTTATTAGATCTATCTTGAATTTTTTTTTTCTGCCAAAGTCTTCATACTCGGTACCCACTAGCGGAAGTAATGAGCAAAAATTGTGGCAAAATATAAATGATTTGTTCTACGTCGAGAAGCTAATTTTGAACTACAAACGTCAAATATATCTTCACTTTATCTACTTGGAGCATGCGACAGCTGATGCTTTGCAACGCTTACAAACACATGTATGCGGAACAGATTCGGGACTTTCAGGGGTGTCCGTTTTGACGCGTATCGTATATTTAATTTCAAGAAGACATCACAAACTTCGGGATTATGCATTTTGGTTCTCTTTTAAACGTTTGTTTTTTAACGTACTCTTCTTTTACGGATATCCTAAGGCTTTAACGTAAAAAAGCAATTTTATGTCAACTTTTTAAGGGCTAATAGTAAATGTATGGATGTTGTTGTTTTTTTGCACTGCACTTGTTGAACAGGACAAGTAAAATCCATTTAAATACTGAACTAAACTGAGATAATGTGATCTGCAAACTGGATCGTTAATTTTAGTACCTATCGCATGATATACGCCTGCAAAGAAAAATGTGTCCAGGGTTTTCATTCTATGCCGCTGGCATCTATTTCTGATAACGACTTTATTTTTTCATACAACAATAATTATATTCGCCGGTTTTAATTCTGTACATGCGTGTACATTAAGGGACATGTTGATAGCATTCATTGCATTCACTTTGCCAATTTTATTTATTTATTTATTTATTTAGGCATTTTTATATAGCGCTTATCATAAAGCTCTAAGCGCTTTACAATTATTAAAACATGTAAACTAAGTAAATACAAATGAGACACTAGGATAGTAACTACTATTCTATAGAAACAATGAAAATGGCTATAAAACGAGGACACTTTGACACTTCAGGATCAACCCGAAACAGAAAATGAGGTAGGGCAAGGAGGGTGCATCACAGGTCATAGGCGGACCTAAACAGATGAGTTTTAAGGGACTTTTTGAAAATGGACGAGGTTTCACTATGACGTATATGGAAGGGGAGCTGGTTCCAGAACGTGGGCCCATGGAAGCAGAAGGAGCGTTCACCGATGGTCTTAATTTTCCGCTGGATTGATCGCTTATCCAAAAAAAAAAAACGTTTTCCGAAACAGCATGGGTTTAATTGGTTTGGATACATAACTCTCTACTGCATATACTATTTCATTATTAATGAGAAGCTTTTAGTTTGCTTATCATATTTTCTAAGCCATTTTTAAAAAAAAAACAACTCATCAGAACTAATACGTATGTCAGTTCACAATGTATAAACTTTTGGAGATCTCATATATATATATATATATACCCTTTTTAATGACATTTGATACCGTTTAAGCGAAAATAGGTTTGGACTTTCCTTTACTTAATAACATTGTAATCAAGAGTAGGGACACATGATGCATTAGGAAATTCCTAATCTTGTAGAGAACCTCAGATGCACGTGGTCTCTTCATTCACGACTCAATATACAACACCATGAGTCACGCTGCCTTCAAATTTCAACTCGCGACCTCACCCTTACCGTTTGCTCTTGTTCGTTACACTCAACAGATTGCCTTCCTCATTTCCAAAACTCCAGATTTTTCATCTCCTCCCTCCATTTCGCAAAAAAACCTTCCAGCTCTACCTACATTTGTGTGCATCGCATCTCGATGTCATAGATCCTATGTCCTTCGTTCACCATAGCTCGTTCCTTAGTTTTTACACCGACCCCCCCCCCCCAAACGCACTTTTCTAGGCTGCCCTGACCTTCATTACGTACGTACTGTGTCGATCCAATCTTATCAGGGTCTCTTGGCGACAAGCAACAATTTTTTTTTACCTTGACTCTTTGCTTGTGTGCTATCAAGTCTCGACTCTCCACACAATATGTCCCTGACTCAATTATAAAACGGCCTATTCCCATTTGAAAGAAAAGACATTTAAAACAACTCGATAGTCAATTTAAATATATTTATAAGTTTGAGAACTTTTGTAGTCCAATAACTTTGGGGTTTTTAATGGTAGAAGCGCAAAAAACATTTCTAAAAAAAAAAAAAACAAACTTGTAATCGTAACAAATTAGAACTGTTAGAAATGTTACATTAAGAAATGGCGTCAGCGGGGCGAGTCTAGACTCTTATGCCGCCCCCCCCCAAATTACCCCTCCCCGGTCCGACGTATCGGGCCGCGGAGCGGCACGTTGGAGATGCCCACTCGCCAGGACGGCGCCCACACGGGCCCCCCACCCAAGTCCCCCGGCTTGGCGCCTGGGCGCTCGACCAGGACCCCGCCTGGGGGCTGCCCCAACGAGGAGGCACCCGGTCGATCCGACACTATGCGTTTAAACAGTGCACTCGATCGACTTTCTCAGGAGTTGGGATGGAAAATTTTTCGTCCTAATATCTTCCCCCACCCATCCCGGGAAAGAGTCGGACGCCCTATAAGAGGGATTCCACAGTGGGCTTCCACAACGCGACTAGTTCACGCTGTAGCTGGGACAAATAAGCCCGTTTAACTGCACTGATTTTATAGTGATTTGAATATCTCTGTATTTATATTTCATGCAAATCAGTTGAGTGAAATACCTTTAGCGCTAGTATGTGATTCATAGAGAGGCTTACCATTTAAAACAACACGGACTTTGATATTAATCAATGAGCAAATGGAGTTTATGTGAGAAGTATTTGTATGTCCAAGAGGACAACGTATATGTTATATTTCAATTGTGTTAATTTTCTTTATAGTGACCTTTCAACGGCTTTAAATAAAATAAGGCTGCCCTCATTTAAGCTTAAACGCCTCTTTTAAATTCAATTTAATTTTTCACTCAGTTTTTTGTTTTTGTTTTGTTAATACTGTTCTATTATTGATCCAACCAGCCACTATTGACATTTTGAACATTCTCTTGTATATCGTCTTTCTGTTTACCTTAAATATATGCTGAAACGATTTTTAAAATCAACAAACACCTATTCAATATTATTACATTTTATTATCAATGTAATGTCAACTCCTTTAGTAAATTTCAAGAAAAAAACAATTGTTCACCTGTTTTGCAAAGTGGTGGGTTACTGAATCCAATACAGGCAGGGCATGCGCCATTCTCAACATCACAGGATGTTCTACAATTTGTGTTACATGTGCTATTACATTCAAGGCCCCATTTTCCATCACCACATTCTAGAGAAGAGTAAAATACGCAACGACATCTATAAATATGTTATACTTGAAATTATGTGTTTATATGTCATACTAAAAATTGTTCTTTATTTAAAAAAAAAACAACAACACATTAAACGTGCAACAATGTATACAAATTATGAAAGCTTTCATTGATGATTCCATGGTTTAAAAAAAGCAACAACAATGGAAAGTGCTTAATAACTTTGTTTAAGAAAATCAAAATCAATTAATAGCGCGTGTGCCAAGTACGGCTAACGTTAAAACGTAATTGACAGTATGCATATAGGACAGTATATAGCTTTGTAATTTTAAAACTGGCTCAGGGTTATGCAATAAAATCTCATTCATTTATGATTTCGTCTTACCCTCAAATGCCTGCACTTCGCACAAAGACAGAATCCGTTCCCTAGAATAAGCACGTATTCCAATAACATTAATTGGAAGATTTCTTTGACTGACTGGCACAATTACTGTGTATATCAACATTGGGTCCTTCCCACTATCTTGGAAGGAAAAATTCGATATGTAGCTTGAATTGAAGGTTTGGAGACTAAAGTTTACTAACCTCTTTGGGCAGCACTGGTCTGAAATTTTAAGTATTTGTCAAAGACCGTTTTATTGGGGGGTGGGGTGAGATTAAAAAAACCCCGCTGAAATAAATAACATACAAACATTTGAAGATTCAATTATTTATTGTACAAGCTAAAAAGGAAATGTGATATAAAATATGAATTAAAGTCAGCAAAATTGTAATTACTTATAATCTGTTAGAAGTGTTAGAGATATTTTGTTGCTTTCATTACAGATGTATAACAAATGAACTTCTTATAATGGTTAAACTTTTTTAATATAGTCATAATGGCTTTAAATGTACTCCCGAGTTAATCCAATTTCATTGTGCCATGAATTCAAAATAATCCCATTCAACACAGTGGGAAAAGATATCCTACCTTGACTGTCAAATCTATTGTATAAAACAATTCTGTTGATTGCGTGGGCTTGATTAAATGTTACATTCCATTTTGGAGACGAGTCAACAATATTTGTATGAGTGCATGTTTTTTTTTTAAAGAAACTGCTTGTATCACCATCAACTGCATTAGATGCTTTAGCTTGAATACCTCTTTTATCCGTATATGTAGAACTCTGAACAGCAGTCTGTTTCACTGCTGCATTGCGACCTAAAAAAATTATTTTTAACATGAAATATACATAAACGTTTAAAATTTTTAGAAAAAATATCTTTATGTTTATTAAGATAAAGTGCGTAATTAAAGCAGTGCTCTAAAGAGCTGCAAATGTAGTAGAATCGCCTTCATAGGACCTTGGCTTTTTCTCTAATCATAAGTCCCCTAATAAAGGCAACGCCTTCTAAGGGCAGAAAGGGAAATACACTTCTCACATCTTTATGAGATCACTCAGATATTCAGGCATTATAGTAAATGCATTGTTCAAGAATGGCCCATTCTTATACTAATATAGATTGGAATCTAATATATTTTGTTTAAACTGTTCGATGGAGTGTTTGGTATCCGAAAAATGTGTAATCTAAAATATCCTAAGAGTCAATTTATTCGAAAAATTGACTCTTTACTATACTTAATTTTGACATTGCTGCTGATAATAAGAAATAGTTTTATTTTCAATATCATTTAATAAGAGATCCTTCCATTCGTATATGCAGTTTGGGCTCTACCATTCACCCGATAATCAGTACAATCGTTTTTTGAAAGCAAAACATTCTATCGCTTGCTTTTGTGTATTTTATTGATTTCTTTAACTCAATAATATGTATTAATAAATATTATTATACAGATGTTGTTGAAAATATTTTTTTTTCAATTTAAAAAGCCAATTTTATTTATGTTTTTTTTTAAATAGGTTTTTGTTGGAAAAAAAAAACTATTTGGTCTCCTTAGGCGGTCGCCTTCTTTACCCTCTGCCAGGCATTCCACTGTATGAGACGCTAATATGTTATAAAGTAAAAAAAGTATGTTAAAGTGATTAATTTTAAATTCAGCCCTTTATGAATATAAGGAATAAATAATTAGGCGTTGACTAAATACCCAACCCCCAAATATTTTACATTATATAAATTTAAGTTTTATTTTGGCTCAGTATATTATAGAATGTCTGGGTTTGACTCCTTTGCGTAAGTGTTCAATTGACCCTCGATGATCTTATCGATGATGATCAGTTTATTGTCTAGATTTCAAAGAAAAAATGTTAAGGAATACAATTGGCTTAATTAAACAACCCCTAAAAACAGTTTTTCGTATTCCTCCTATATAAAATATAATAATGAGAGATGGGGTGGGGGGAGAGGGTGGGGCTTAAAATTTGACAAAACATGCATTCAAGACTCACTTTATACGAAACTCAATTAGTGCTCCTCCCCTCTACAACACCATTTTTTTTCAAGACCCTGAACTAATAACATTCTGATACACCCGCTTTTACAATGAAGATAGATTTCACTGTTTCAGAAAAAGCCAAAGAAAATGTAAAGCACCAAACGTACTTGCGAATTTTTCAAGAATCTCATATAGCACAGTTATCGGGAATTTCATATTATCTTCCCCTTTAACAACAGTAATAAATGATCTTTTTGCGGGTGGTGCTGGGGGGTAGAGTAAAAATTTGATAGAATATGTTACCTTTGACATCGAGTCTATGTGCCAAGTTTCAGCTCGATAGCTTGACGGGAAGTGGGCCTTTTAGCCGTCAAATAATTTTGTCACTGAGTTAGTCAGTCAGTCAGACACTTAGCCACCCACAAACAAAAGTGAAGTTAATATGAAGGATTTAAAAACAGGCAATTTAAACTAATCTTTTTTAAAATTTGGATTAAATTTTACGATTGTTTTTACGTTTGTACAAGTAGACATTGGGTGTGTCTTAAAATCTTTTGGTATCGTCCCTTGATGCTACGTACGAAGGAGCAGCTGGTAAAACCTTTCAGTCAGAATTTTGTCAAATTCCTTGTAAATTTCATCTCGGATGGAGCTTTGCCATTTGACAGAAATTATACTAATTGTTGCGTCTTATTTAAATTTGAAAGGTCTTCAATTTTTTGGTTGATGCCCACCAACGGGAGTCTATTTATGATTGATTGTTGAAGGGCAATTTAAGATGCTATAAAAGGGCTCTGCCCAGCAAGCGTTCGACTTTTTTATTTCTTTCTGAGTAATCAGAGTTTTCTCATTAGCACTCAAAAGTGGGGATGATCCTGTTATAATGTCGAATGAGTCTTTAAAAGGAATTAAAATTTGATTGTAAAGATAGAAGTTGTAAAGACGGTGTTTTTCAATCCAGAAGCTGCTTCATTACCATACCTTTCATCGAGCCAGTACAGATGATTTTTGAGCTTTGTCCCAGCAACTCCGTAGTGGTTATATACAATATTGCTTTGGGTGATGCCAATTCACGAAGGGCCGGAAAGTACCTGGCCGATATTCAATATGCTGTTGCAAGGCTTTCCATAAGAATACGGGGGGGGGGGGATATATTTGCAGTTTATGTCATAATCAAAAATGAAATCGGGTACAAGTGGTCAGAATCTCATGCTAGTTTGCAAATACAAAGTGCCAAAATGCTAAATAATTCAGATGCACAATTCCAACTAGTAAAAGCTTGAGATAATGTACGCATCCGTACACCAGATGTTGACGGAGGTCGCGGTGATACAGGAAGCACCTTTGCAGTTGTTATAAACGACGAGGACACTTTCTACATGGTTGGAACAGAACACCGTGTTCTTAAACAAGTGTATTCCAGAAGTGAGTTTTCCAATCTGCAAGAGAAACTGCTCACATTGGAATCCGTGGGCACTCAAAAAAATCAGTACGAACCGTCGCGTTTTCAATCATTAACCGGCGATGAAGGCCACACTCAACATTCTCTACTCCCATTTAAATCCTAGAAAAGCTCTTAGATACAAATACCAACAAAAATAAGTAGAAATGTTACTCATTTAAATTATATATATATATATATATATATATATATATATATATATATAATATATCCAATAATCTTTGGCATGCACAGCTGCGAAACGACTGAAAACGAATTGGACTAGCCAACAAAAATAAGTGCTTTGAAAGTGGGCACTCTTTAAGACAAGGATAACATCGACACATCGCAGGGGAGAACATCCCTTATAGAAAATAAACTAGTAACGTAAACATCGCAGCCCTCATCAAAACCCAGCTTGCAAGAATTGGCGAACTCTGCGAGAAGGGCTTTGAATATACTTTCTTTACGAGTGGCCGAGAAAGCGAAGAACGTCTTTAGGCTGATATTAGTTTCGCTATCAAGTCTACACTAATTAGCATGATGGCTGGAAATTCAATGAGAGTCTTCAATGTGATATTGACATCGAAACTCTTTTTCTTATCAGGAAGATAACACTTCACCATCATCATCTGCGATCCCCGAACATTGATAATAAGGTTCTATGAGGATATGTACACTGCCTTAGCTTAAGACCAGAAGCAGGATACGCTTATGATAACGGGTGACTTCAATGCTCGTGTGGGCCATGATTTGCATCGCCTGAGATAGGCTGCTGGAAACGCCGGTCAAAGTAGTACATACAATGGCCATTTCCCGTACATTGGACATTGGGTACACGCCTTAGCCAAAGAGCAAAGTTGTCGGCCTTTTCGGAAATTATACGAACTTCAAGCTCTGATCATAACATATATTATATATACATGTAGATTTTTGGGATTTTTAATTGTCCGAATACCAATTATCATATAGTATTCGATGTCTATTTTTTTTTTTAAATTCTGGTTTTCAATAGTTTTGTGGTGCTTTGAACTAAAGGGCAACACTGTGCGGCATGTTATATCTGCTGCATTAACTTATTAAATAGTAAGAATAATAAAAATTAACTACTTTTACATTAACAACAATATTTAGATAGTGTGTTAGAGTTGTTTTTTTGTTGTGTTTTTTTAATAAAACATTCGCATACAAATTGCAGACTCCTTCCACGTAATTGTGTAGTTAGCAAATTTTAAGTACGGTTTGGTTAAAAATTTAGCAGCGATTACTTGGAATCGTTTGCAAATCTGTCTGTATTCAACTACGAAAGTACTCACCTCCACTAATATAAACTGAACAAAGCGAAGTCACACTATGTCCGCTAATGATGATCTTCATTACATCTACTGTCATCTGACAACTGATGTCCACAGTGTTTGCGTTTATCACAAAGATTCGATGATTTTGGAATTTAATATACTTTGAATCGTTTACACCTTCTCTGAACGAAACCTTAAAGTTTCCAGGATATTCTTGTGGGAAAAAAAAAAATGATTTCATCAATATTTTTAATTAAAATTCTACAAATCCAATATTAAAAAAAAAGTTATTTAACATTATACAACTAATTTTTAAACGTTTATTGAAATTAAAAGGCTGCATCTGTTAAATGATTTCAAATAAAAGAATGCTATCTATGTTTATAATTGTTTTTTTTTTTATGCCGTCCTCAATCCGATCTGGTGCTAGAACTAATGTTTACAAAAAAATGTTGCTTATACCATTATCCTTGACAGTAAGTCTCAACCATGAGAAAGGGTAGGTAATATTCCATGCTACAACAACAGAATTTAGACTGTTGTCTTGATTACAGGTAGAGTCATCTCCGTCAGTGATCCACGTGTTAGATGTTTGTAACGGGTAGCTGGTTATTGTAGCAGACGGCACACTGGTTAAATCCTCTGTAGCAAAAATATAGAATGTTCAATAAAAATCTAGTTAAAAAGAATCTTTGTATACTACCATCACATCTGCTTCTATACCCGTCATCTCTGTCAGTGAACCACATGTAAGATTTTTGTAATGGGTGGCCGGTTTTCGTGATAGATGGAGCACTGGTTAAATCCTCTGCAGTTGTATAATATATATCTCTTTTAGGATTAATGGGAGTCGCTTAGACACTTCCTTGTTTGGTCACGTGATGAGAGTAAGCCATCACTAGGCTGCTACACAACAAGAGATAACAGCTGATCTGAAAAATGTTCGTCTTCATCAGTGCTTCCCCAATGTCATGTTACTTAAAAATTTTACCTTTCAAAATATTCTGGCCTACACGTATTTTTTTTTTTTTTTTTTTTTTGTGCAATTTAATTGTTACAGTAAATAATCGTCATTTATGATTAAAGGAAGAAAGTTATTTCAAGAAAAATTTGTGACCGATATTCGATGGGTACTTGAGCTCTGTGTCGATGACGTCATTTGCGTGTTTATTTAATATTTGTGTAGCAGTCTTTCCTCTTTTTTTATTTTATTGTTAATTTTCATTGCACGAAATGTCGGCATACCCATGACGTCATTTGCGTCTTTATTCAACATTTGTGCGACGAAGGAATATTGTAATAACCGGTTGGAACAAGATTTCATGTGAATAATTAACGAAGATCCACTTTGTCAAGCCATTGTCTTAAATGTTTTTTATACTTAAATGGAAACTTATGCAGATGTATACCGATGTCCTTAACTTTACTGTTTGAACAGCCAAAAGCCGAACATTGCCTAGGCATCTTGAGTTACTAGTTGTAGTGTGTAACGGGCTACTGTTCTCAAGCACTAGTGTGTTGCATACAGCCTCCCTGAAGTCTTATTCGTATTCACTCTTTTCACGTGATAAAACAATTGATTAAGCGACTCCCATTAGACACAAACATTATTTGTAAATAAAACAATATTAGCTTTAATGATGATTTTACAACATACAAATAAGGACATTTTCGAAAATTCCTCCTTCATCAGTACAAAAGAATGAAACATTTAAATTAGTATGACTTCATTATACATTATACACACACACGTACCCCACCTAAAAATAGAAAAGAAGGAGTTTGGAGCAAAACACAGAAGGAAAAAATAATAAAAACAACGGAAATAAAGTGTGTAAAAGTAAACTTTAAAACCCAAAGAAGAAAAAGACGCTGACTGAAACTTAACATTCCAGGCATTTACTGGAAATGTTACATTAAGAAATGGCGTCAGCGGGCCGTCGAGATTGCGCTCTTTATGCCCTCCCCAAAACTCCCGGTATCGGGCCGCGGAGCAGCACGTCTGGGATGTCCCTTTGTCAGGACATTTACTGGAAGAAAAAAGTGATTTGAGTCTAGCTTAATAGAATATAAGGATATGGTTCGTTAAACTTATTGAAGTAGTTTCTCAAACCAATTATAAATCTTAGTAAGAATATTTTTTTAATTAAAAAATTATTAATACAGTAATTTTTCTTTCTTTAAACTATTATCTAATGTATTATAAAAAAAAAATTAATAGTTAAAAATTGATTACCGCTTAGAGAGCATTACCACATAGAGAGCATTACCACTTAGAGAGCATTACTGTTTAGAGAGCATTACAACTTAGAGAGCATTTCCAGTTAGAGAGCATTACCACTTAAAGAGCAATACCAGTTAGAAAGCAGTACCACTTAGAGAGCATTTCAGCATAGAGAGCAATACTACTTTGCCTTATCTTTAAGTGAGCATTACCACTTTGAAAGCATTACCACTTAGAGAGCATAACCACTTATAAAGCATTACAACTTAAAGAGCATTACAACTTAGAGAGTATTATCAATTAGAGAGCATTACCATTTAGTGACCTTTGCCAGTTAGAAATCTTCTATGCTTAGAAAACGTGTTTTGTTTTTCAGAAATGATTTGAAATTTGTACAAGCTAAACTATTGTCTCTACAAAACAACTAAGTGTAATGACCACGCTGACGAGCACTGAAATGTCCCCCACTCGTCATTCGTGTACACTAGTGGCAATTTTTAGGAATTATTTGTTTCTGTGTCAGGTTGCTACGATTTATACATGTATGGTGGTGCATTTCCCGAACATGACACTCAAGCACACTAGAGGAAATTTTAATAGAGAGTCTTGGATACTGTGTCCGATCGCTACCATTTACACAATTATGCGTGTGGGTTAGTCAAGAAGAAATAAATGAAAGGATTGCTTTCAAGCTTAATAAATGAATGAAATAGCGAAACGAGGTATGTGGAAGCTTGAAATAAGATAAAAAGACAAAAAAAAGGACGTTTCGGCATAAAGCCTTCCTCAGCCAACAATAGAAATGAAAATATAACAAAGAAAAGAGCACAGTAGACAACTCAAGCAGTATCCATTCGTGTCTCCGGAAGTGGGAAAACAGGAAGCGAGAGAATATAAATATTGACACTGTGAAAAATAAAGTCCACAATAATAATGGACCAGAATATCCAGGGATACATCAATGCACAGCAATAAGAATATAAATGAAATAAAGGGAAACAGAGAAACATCAGTAGGATATTATTTGATTAATACCATATGGAGATATGGTGCCAAACAGCTGAATAAATTTATTTTCCATTTTAACCCTATCTGGTGTGTTACTGCATGAAATCAGTGCCGTAATGGTTACATCCAATGCACCTTTATGTTCTTTTCGGTTTAAATGAGAAGAGACCGGGGAAGGTTTACATTGCTCAATATCCCTTAGATGTTCAGTAAACCTATCAGCCAATCTTCTCCAAGTTTCACCTATGTAACTAGATTGGCATCTACGGCACACAATCGCATATATTACATTTCTGCTGACGCAGGTGAAACCCTCTTTAATGGTAAAGGTACCTTTAGGGAGGCCAATGCTTTCAGTAACACACCAGATAGGGTTAAAATGGAAAATAAATTTATTCAGCTGTTTGGCACCATATCTCCATATGGTATTAATCAAATAATATCCTACTGATGTTTCTCTGTTTCCCTATATTGCATCTATATTCTTATTGCTGTGTGTTGATGTATCCCTGGATATTCTGGTCCATTATTATTGTGGACTTTATTTTTCACAGTGTCAATATTTATATTCTCTCGCCTCCTGTTTTCCCACTTCCGGAGACACGAATGGATACTGCTTGAGTTGTCTACTGTGCTCTTTTCTTTGTTATATTTTCATTTCTATTGTTGGCTGAGGAAAGCTTTATGCCGAAACGTCCTTGTTTTTTGTCCTGTTATCTTATTTCAAGCTTCCACATACCTCGTTTCGCTATTTCATTCATGGGTTAGTCAAAAAGGCCTTTTCGACGATAACAATTAAATCTAAATTATTTCTCCCTAAAATAGCATTTTCCTTCGAATCAATAATTTATCAATATAGCCAACTCCTGGCTTCTGTTTGAACACTATTTAGCGTTCAAAGCCTTCATGAAGAAGGATGGGGATGTTGTTCATGTACTAAGTGATCCAAAACGGCTCAAGGACATGGCTTTTCTTGTTGACATTACACAAGATCTGAATGTACTCAACAAGAAGTTACAAGACCAGGGGCAGCTTGTCAGTGTTGCCTATGACAAAAATCAGGGCATCTTGCACAAAAAATGTGTTATGGAAGCCAAGTTTTCATGAGAAATCTCTGCCATGTCCCAACATGCAAAGTACTCATTGACTCGGGCACAGTATTCAGGAGTAGGTATACTGATACCATTGCAAAGCTACAGGAAGAATTCGATACCAAGTTTGCAGATTTCAAAAAGCTAGAAAGCCATTTTCTTTTAATTTTCCAGCCCCATTTCCGTCTAATGTTAAATATATCCCTACCCCCACCTTTTTTGCGCTTCAGATAGAGCTGATTGACCTTCAGTGTAATTCTAAACTCAAGGCTAAGTTCAAAGCTCCACCTTTTCTGAGATGTCCAGGTTGTTCAATCGGATCATGTGCCTTTTCGGTACCTGTCGGTGTGATAAGCTCTTTTCTACTATTAAATTTAAAAAAATAAAAATTCAGGCCCAAACTTACTGATGATCATCTTCAAGATACTCTGAGGTTCTTAGTTCCTTCCTCACTCTAGCCTAATGTTGCCCAGCTGTGTAAGCTCTGGCAACTAGGATTAGAAGGAAGAAAGTGAAGCCTAGCTCTTGACAACCCTTATTGTTTTTATTTGTTACTAATAAACGTTGAGCAGATTTTAACAGTTACACTTCATTGAATTTTTAATCGCATTTTGAAGAAGACTTGATGTGTCCAAGTCTCAATCAGACTCTACCTCTGCGGCCTCCGAATGATTTGCTTTTGAGATCTCTAATTTACTTTAATTACATTGTTAGGATCATTTAATTTAATATAATGAAATCGTTTACAAAAATTACATTCCGAAGATTACTTTTCACAATCCATGAAATATAAGATTAACTGAATGACTGGTAAGTCTTCTTCTTTGAATCTTTATTTTACAACTGGTATTGAGTGATAAGACCACTTGCAAAATCTGGTAAGTAACAGGTTGATTTTAAGAAAAAAGCTGTTTTGTAAATTAACTTGATAAAGCAAATCTAGCATATATATATANATATATATATATATAGTGATTTTAGACATAGAGCTTTTGAGCAATTAAATATATACAATTATACTGTACACTGATAATTAACACACAAGCAAAAATGATATTTCAATTAAAAGAAGATTTGACTTGACTTAGCAGATTTGCAGTTGGATTCCTGAAGTTTTCATGTTATTCTTTTTGTTTATGTTCTGTTACTTTTCTTTCCTTGTTTAGGTACATGTAGGATATACATATATTGAGTAAATTAATAATTTATAATTGTTTAATTATTATCATTATTATTGTTTTTTTTTTTTTTTTGTAGTTGAACTGATGAAGGTATTTGCGAAATGTCTGGAATTTTGCTTTGTTTAGTTCTAATTAAAGCTTAATATATACATTTTGTTCTAAAATTGTGTCTCAGTTATCTATTTAAAGGGAGCTGTATCGCAGCCCAAACTCATTATAATTAGTTAATACTGTTTGAAGAAAATCTCTCTGTTTATTCCCATTTACAAATAGTTTCTCTTTCTCTGGCTTCCTCTTTCTTATTTAATCGACGCCTACTCCCCATCTTAATTAACTCTCTCCTGGTGTGTAGCATTAGAGCTAAGACACCAAACAATAATGCACAGTTTAATGACTTTCCTCTCCTATCGCGTATGTACACACAATCACATTTGGATTTTAGTGGGAGATTGCAACATAACTTAACTATAACATTATAATACTTTAGCGGTATAAGATCGGCTAAGATCTTCGTCTGAGTCTGTCGTCATAGTCCGTCGCATAAGTAGTCCGTCAAATTAGTCCTTCTTCTTAGTTCGTATTCTTCGTTCTTCGTCTTGGTTCGTCGTCTTGATCCATCGACTTTTCCTTCGTCTTAGTCAATCGTCTTAGGTCTTCCTCTTAGTTCCTCGTCTTAGTTCGTCGTCTTAGGTCATCCTCTTAGTTCCTCGTCTTAGTTCGTCGTCTTAGGTCGTCCTCTTAGTTCCTCGTCTTAGTTCGTCGTCTTAGTCCGTCGTTACAATTATTAACCTTAACACCCTTAAGTTAAGAGATTTATATATATATATATTTATATATACTTAGATATATTTAGAAATGTTGTACTGTGATTTCAATACCATATTCTGAGCTGAAAAATGTAGATTTTATGAACATGATAAACAGATAGTTATCTTATAGTCTTATTAAATTTACTATTTGATGTCGTATTTCAAAACTTGTGAAATGCTATACGTTTAAAAATATGAACCTACGATATTGACATGCCAGGCCAAACCATCCTTTAACACATTTAGTGTTTTCTGTACATTGACCGGTACTTGAGTTGCATTTGTCATTTTCACAGTGACATTGGTATTGACATTTGTGCCCAAACCATCCTGTTTGAGAACAGCCTGGTAAAAAAAAACAACAACAAAAAAACAACAACATTATATTGCTATTGATTATTTTAAATGCGTTTTCTAGTCTTGACAATGTTTCATCCACTCACCTTTTCTATTTCGGTAAATAAAAGATGAGTGTGTGTTTTGCAAGCTACTTGAAACACATCTTTACTAAAGAAGAATGGTACTTGTTTAGCATTTAGATATTTATATATTTTTTAAAATGTTATTGTGTAATTTATGTGATTTGAAAAAAAATATTTAGAAAAAAAACAACAACACACATTTAAAATACCCTTTAATTACTTTACATTTTACAGGTCATGGTTACTAAGACAACTGGTCATGTTTAAAAGACAACCATGGGCAAAACTCGCGTTAGTACAAAAAACAACAACAACAACAACATTATTAGTTATATATAGTTCATGCATCGATATGGTCCACTTATGTTAAAACAACAAAATACGTGCGCGCAAATATGAAAAATACCTTTAAAAACTAAATAGCAAATGTCATCTAAAAAGATAGAGATCTATATTTACCTTGAGCGTTCACCAAAGAAAACTCGAAAGCCAGCTGACATACGACAATTAGTAAATGTATATTATTCATGGCCAAGATCCTAAAGAACTTGTAGAATTGAATTGAACCATTTATCACGTATTTGCTATAATCAAATATTAACGTTATCCATCTGTAAGGTTGCTTTCTAATGTGCTATGAATCTATATTTGTATAAATTGGAATACTTTCAAAAACAATCAAAACCTTTTATTCCTAAATGCACGTGACACAACTGAACTATATAAAACAACAAATATTAAATTCAAATGACGGTAAAAAGCATCATTGTTCTACAGTAAAGCTACACTGGACTGTTCAAGGGAAGCCGTTTGGTACGATAAGAGGAAGTAGTTAGAGCAGGGATGACCAACCTTTTCAGCACACGGGCCGAATGTTATAAATAATAATTCCTTCCCGGACACGCACGTAATTTGTGTTGTTAATTAAAGTAAACAAGCAAGCGTTCTACAGCCTCGACCACACTTCCCGGTAGGTGAGATCGTGGTCAAACGTTGGCCTGGTTAAAATTAAAAAAAACAACAAGAAATAGGTCTACTATTATAGGCCTATACTTTTTTTGAAGAAAATAATGTATCACCGAGAATCAAACAGAATTAATAGACAATTTAAAAATATTAAAAGTGGAACATCTGAATTTTTTGTCTGCAGAACTAAGTGCCTTAAAATTTATGTCGACGGATATTGTCGCTAAATGCAAACAGTTTTCAAAATGAACGTCGGTATTTTGTGTTCTCACTTTTGATTTGATGTGCTTTGTACGAGTGAAAAGCTGTTCACACGCATAAGTGTTTCCAAATAGCGAAACCATCGAAAGGGCCTATATATAAAATGCAGTATATTTATTCTTGTCCAAATACATTTTATAGAACACTTCCAAACCAGCATGGTGGAATTTCTCCTTTAATTGTGTATGGAAACACATTTCAAAATGTCATATTTGTAATCTTCCTAGTAATAAATTCACGTCTACCACGAATGGCGTTGCAAATGCACTAAAAAGCACATAGTTTTTGTGTTTTTTTAAATGCTGAATTTCATTTTCAAATTCAAGGTTTAAGACCGATATCAAAGAAGAGTATTTAGCCACCGATTTTTTTTCTTCAAAGTCTGGGATACTTATCGACATGCTTAAAAAGAATGATTGTATTTCTTTGGTGCAAATCAAACACCTTTTTTCAACATTTTGGCACGGGTGAGCCATCTAACTTCTGCATAAAATGTAACGTCATTATAATGTGAGTCAAACTATTTTAGAAATTCTCGGAACCGATTGTCGATTCAACACGTTCGACTTAATGAAGATCACTATTTTGACGACCACTTTCATGACATGGTCCATTTTGTGGGACTTCGAACATCAATTCTGATGTTGAATAATGAGGTGAAAATTTAGCACTGAGGTATTACCGACTTTTGGAGCTTAAAATTCCATCAATTTGAATAAATCTTTGTGTTTGCCAACCATCGCTGGAGCACCAGCAGGTTAAGCCCCATAAGTTCTTAAGTTATAACGAGAAGCGATTCTATGTCGATGTAACTGCTTCGTGACTTAGTAGTGTCCTTAAGGGAACACAGTGCCGCTAATTCTTCTGTGTGAATGAACATCAACACCCCTGATAAAAATTGCCTGTAAGGGGAAGTATCTTCCATATCTGTGCTGTGATTTAATGATAGAGCATATATAAACTCGGATGCTCGACCTTTCAAAATCTACAAGCCTAGTAATAGTCTCACGAGACCGACTTAAATTTGAGAAATCATTCTTCTTTTCTGGACATAGAATTTCAACGACGCTCTCCAAACATTTCTTATCCATTTTACTATCTGCATATGGCTCCCAACTTTTTGTTAGTATCATGACTACTGCATAACTAGATTTTAAATAGCATTTTGACTCTGAACCCGTTCTAGGAAACATCTTGTGTTGTGCAGAATTTTTTTTAAAAAGTCATTTAGATGATCGTTTCCAAATTGCACTTTGTACGTATCAAACTTATTTGCATTCTCAGTCTCGTTCTGCCGTTTGATGCTATTGTCTTTCAAAACAGAATCATATTCATTGCATATCGAGTACATAGACTTTTGTTTTAATTTCAACTAACAAAAAGTTTATATTTCACCTATCTTAAAAACTTCGTGATTCTTAAAATAGCTCAAAACCAATGATTTTTTTCTTTAAATGCGAGATATGTCAAATTTCTCATAGCTAAATTTTAAAAAGACATGATACGAACAACTCAGGATATAATATTCTTTTGGTGATATTTACATAAAGTTAGCATTAATGTTCAAATGACCTAGCTCCGATGGCCGCAAAACATGACCTTCCGACTGAGCGCATGCGGCCCGTGGGCCCCATGTTGGCCACCCCTGAGTTAGAGCATGTTTAAACAAACACCGGTAACATAGACGTGTAGATTTATTTGTAAGGACTTAATTTTTTTGTCAACATTTATTCTTAAAACTCAGGATTGTCTCGAGGGAATCTTCTTGAGAGATAGATCACCAAAAAGTTCGGAATAAAACAGGAAGTTTGTTTCTGGACTACTTTTATTTCTAAAATAAAAATTATATACAATAAATTGATGGAAAAATAGTAGTTTAGTTTAAGGTTTCTTCTTATGTAATTAAACATTCACGTTCACGGACAAGCACAACTATCTAAAAGTTGACATTCACCGACAAGCACAACTATTTAAAAGTTGACATTCACCGACAAGCACAACTATTTGAAAGTTGACATTCACCGACAAGCGCAACTATTTGAAAGTTGACATTCACCGACAAGCACAAATATTTAAAAGTTGACATTCACCGACAAGCACAACTATTTAAAAGTTGACATTCACAGACAAGCGCTTACTTATTAAACGTTGACGTACTTATAAACCAGTACTCATAAAACAAAATGAAATCTACACATACGCACGATCTTTTCGAATAATATCCGCGTTATACACAATAATACCGAAATCTTATGAAAAGAAACACGTACAAACACTATTTTAGAAACTTTCTAGAAGTGAATGGTTGCCTATTTATCGCTAAAAAAGGAGAAAACAAAATACTTTCCACTACCACACCTATATAAAAGCAAATTACTGATTTATTGTAAGCTATGCACAGCAAAGCGACTCCTTGTTTCTGAAAGAGTCACGTTGAGAACTGAAAACCTCCCCTTCTTTGTAATGTCTCGCCCTCCATATTCAAAAACAGCGAATGAGTCAAAGTTTTTTTTTTTTAAATGCATCCTGCAGTTGAAAATGGGATAATATAAGATTGCCATCAACACAGACAGGAAGTAAAACGAAACACCGCTAATGCGGTTCCCTGGAACATGACATATATGTTAAACCGTCTCTATTCCACTGGCTAGGCTAAGCATACGTTCATAAATACACAATTTCAGGTCCTTTTCAAATATTTCCTGTAAGCACTTGAGACAACAGTTGGATGGAGCAACTATAAGTACCGCGAATTACATCCCCATCTCCGTTTTTTCCCCGATCACTTAGAAAGTCCCAAAATATTTATGACAAAGCTAAATAGAGAATAGTAAAGATTATAAGCTATATTGTATGTTAACAACAAAAAAAATAAATACATGCTTCAAATTTTAAAAAAAAAATTCAAAAACTGTATGGTGGACTAGCGGACTGGCCCGTACCGATAGCCGGCTAAGGCAACAGCGCACATGCGCAGAGAGACTGGACACAGAGTTTTTTTATGAACCGTGTTCCGGACGTAAGCTGAAAGTCAACATCTGTTTGAGAACTTGTATTTATGTATATATATATATATATATATATATATATGTTTATGTTACTTGTTTGAAATAAAAACTTTAAAAACATAACAAAATGGTGGCCAGTATAAACATCACAGTATGGTATCGACCAGTATCAACAACACAGTATGATGGTCAGTATTAACTCAATACAAAACTCAGTACAACTCAGTACAACCGAGTGATAGTTTGATACGCACGAGTGAGTTCACGGTACGGAGGAGATAATTACACAATGGACTCAACTCTGACCCAAGCTGACATTATCCAGAAGCTCATACAGCAGAACGAGCTACTTTTGAAACTAGCAACGGGTAATACTGCTACTAATATGAAGTTTACACATTTCAGTAGTAACGAGGAAACGTTCACAGACTACGACGCTACATACGTTACCTTCGTGTTGGCAAATAATGTGCCAAAGGACAGGCAGGCACACATTTTTCTAACAAGCCAAACGTCAGAGCTGCATAAAATGTTATCAACCATAGTACAAGAAAAAGAACCACCACACAATTTAAATGACTTGAACATAAAAGAAATATATAGAATAATGATGGATCAATTTGAGCCCACCAAATTTGTAATCAGGGAAAGGTTCAAATTTTTGTCTGATTCTAGTAGAAAACGGGGCAAACAATAAAAAAATTGGCAGCTAGGATCAGACAGGATGCAGCGACTTGTGAGTTTAGTAATATAAAAAATCCTCTAGATGAAGCTTTACGAACAAGATTCATGTGCTCTGTAAAGAATGAGGCCGTGTTAAAAATGTTGTTTCGGATGAAGGACACTGAACTGTCATTCAACAAGGCAGTTGAAATAGCTGTTGAAACAGAGGAGGCAGCGAAATGTGCCCCAAAAAAAATAGTCCATGACGAAACGCCTATCAATAAAATTCAGACACAAAGAAAGAAGCAACATCAGACAGCAGAGAAATTGTCTCCATCTCAAAGACAAGATTTTCCGAGTAGAACTTGTGGCAGGTGTGGAGTACGAAGTCATAAAGTAAATGTCTGCAGGTACAGAGACGTGATCTGCCGCTTTAGCCACAAGAGAGGACATCTAGAAAGAGTTTGTCTAAATAAGAAAGAGAATGCTCCAAAACAGAAACCAATTCATCTAAAAAGAATAAGAAGGCAAAACCAAATAAAAACTATCCCGCCCATTATTCAAGAACTCATTTTAGAAGGAAAGAGGTTTGTATTTGAAATTGACACTGGAGCTGGAGAAAATTTTATGTCTGAATCTGTTTTGCGAAAGCTGGGACAACCCACATTGAGCCCAGTAGCGGTCAAGTACGAGTCAGCGTCTGGTGACCTACTTAATGTTTTGGGAGGTGTGGAGATAAATGCTGAAGCAGGGGAAATAACTACAAATTTGTCATTTGTAGTAGTGAAAAACCACAGCTTAAACTTGTTGGGCAGAACTGCA